TAACATGAAAGGTCATCCAGGGTTTGAAAGAGGAAACAAGAATTCCGAGATTTCATACCTCCATGAAATATGTAGAATTTATTAATTTTTTTTTTTGGGGGGGGGGTCATCTCATCAATTATGGAAATAAGGCTGTAATTACTAGTAACAAAATCTAGTTTAATTTATGGTTTTCTAGTCTCAATACTAAAACTTTACAGACTAATGTGAACTACTATGTACATGTTCAACTTCTAGCTGGGCAGTTGTACATGTAGATGTATGAATATATGGAGCTAATATGATAATGGTTTGTCTAGTATCATAAGGAATGCGAGTATTTCTTTTCTATCTTACTGTCAAAATCTGGGAAACTTATCTCGTATATAAGTGAGAGGCTATCTATTAAAACACATCTGCACTTCGAGCCTTGGGACGTCATTTGTCTTTAAACTTGGTGATGGAAATAGCGCCACCATGCGTCCCAATCAGATAATTCATCAAATCCACCTTATGACTCATTGGAGTATACTAAAAAGAGCGTAGAATATATTTGAAGATGTATATACAGGCAGGGCTGCTACCATCCTTATAAAACTGCTGCAATCTTTCTCCTATCGTGAATTCAATTCAATTCAATTCAATTCAGTCTTTATTAAACAACTCGCAGACTTAAGTCTGAATTGTGTTGCTCATTACAATATTCGGGAAACGTTAATAAGATTACAGACAATCATCTTAAGTAAAATGCGCTTTCGTTTACAAATATAATACATTACATAACATTACAAATTAAAATATATCATAAAACACAGAAGAGAAGACGTCTGTGCCGCTGTGTCACTCAGTGTATAAGGTACTGCAGACACGACAGATAAGTGAAGTCTGAGCGCAAGTACTATATTCATTACTTGGCATTTAACAGTTCAACTAAAAAAGGAATTGGTGAGTTCTTGTGACGTGCAGACCGACAGAGTGGAACATCAAATTTATTAGCATTACGTGTACTTCTACCGGAAATGTTCTGTCTCAGCGGGGGCAACCAATCACGGAACTCAGAGTTCAGCAGGGATTCTGCAAATGCCCTACAAAGTTCACGACGTCGGTCAGCAAGGGAGCTGAGGTTCAGGGTTGTCAGTGCCATGTTATAGCTCGAATACTGTGATCCCAAGATGATTTTACAGGCCCTCGTCTGGATCCGTTCTAGAGTCTTAGATTGTTTAGTGGTCAAGGCCGGATGCCACACGGGCACTGCGTATTCCAGTAAAGGGCGCACGTACACGGTGTAGACAGACACCAGGTCGGGAACTGACACACCGAATCTTTTCAGCCTCCGTACCATGTAGAGTCTCCTATTTGAGGATTTCACCATACTGTCCACTTGCTGGTCCCATTTCAGATTGTTTTGAATCGTCAGGCCGAGAACCTTGATGCATGTAACGGTTACCAGGGTCTGTTCACTGATGATCAGAGGTTCAGGTGGGGGAGGAACCTTAGCGAAACAGATCTGTAGCACTTTGCATTTCTTCGGGTTCAAAGCCATCTTGTGGTCGCTAACCCATGTGCTCAGGTTATCAAGAGTAAGTTGGAGTGTACATGGTTGACGTATCAAGCGAACATCTGCAATGTTCATATCATCCACGTACTTCCATCGGTTAGCCACGTCACGCAGAGCTCCATCTATCAACGCCATAAAGATGACTGGTCCAAGTATAGTTCCTTGTGCTACGCCACAGCTGAGGTTGAGCCAGTCTGAGGATGCGCCCTGGTAGATCACACGCTGCCGTCGGTCAGTCATGAAGTTGCAAATCCACGGGATCACAGCCGGGCGAACACCAAGGTCAAGTAGGGATCGAATAGCAGTTGTGTGATCGACTTTGTCAAAAGCCTTAGACAGATCGGTGGTAACAAGGGTACAGATCGATTTTGACAGTGAAGTGGATTTGTACAAGAAGTCCACCAAGTTGACAAGCGCGTGTGTTGTCGATCTATGCCTCCTGCTACCAAACTGGCGGGGGTCAAGCTTTGGAGAGATGTCCTGTAGTATCCAATTAGTCACAAACCGTTCACAGAGTTTAGACAACATTGCAGTAAGGGAAATGGGCCGGAGTTCATCGATGGATGGTGAACTGTTCACAACTTCAGCTTAGCTGTGGCGACTGTTACAAGGTCTTCATTCGTTGCACTGTTATACATTTAGTAAGTCAGTCACAACAATAATTATTAAGGCTGCAAGCAAGAAGCCCTACAAAATAGTAATCATTGCTAGTTCAGACTTCATCAAACTTTTTCGACAAACTGATGAGTGAGTGAGGTAAATTTTGAGTTCTAGTTCTGTGATTGTCGTCCATTTTCCGTCACTGCATGGAGGTAAAAGTCAGGTGCCCCCCTCCCCCATTCCCGGCGTGCCTTAAGCTCGTACCGTGACATGGCACTTCCCAGCCAGTTAGACTTCATCAAACTTTTTCGACAAACTGGTATAGTGAGTGAGGCAAATGACGAGTTCTAGTTCTGTGATTGTCGTCCATTTTTCCGTCACGGTCAGGTGCCCCCCTCCATCCTTCCCGGCATGCTTAGCTCGCCCCGTGACTGACTGGCACTTCCCAGCCGAACACCCCGGGTTTCTCCAGACTGATTTATAGACCGTTAATCTCCAGGGTTAATGTCTCTGGCAGATGCTGCCTTTAAACCGGCAATAAACTCGACTTGCCGAGACCTGCCAGCCGCTTTCTGTCAAACACACGAGGCGCTTTCCCAAACTGGGGCAAAGGCGGGCTGACTTTTACCTCACTCACTTTATAGAATATCAGGTTGTCGAAAAGTGTGATGAAGTCTACATCTAGACTATTTTGTGTAGGGCTTCTTGCTTTCAGCTTTACACATAATTGATCATAATTGTTTTAACTTCCCAAAACCCACAAATTTGGGAAAAGGTGAGACATTACGTCATCCATGTTTTACAGAAGAGAAGTCAAACCCTTCAGACATAGCTCTAGTTCTAGACAGCTATACCTTCATCATGTAGATTTTAGTTATTTTATACTCTGTTTCATTGTTCTTTTAAGTTTTGTAATTTGCAATTAGCCTCCGGGCCCGAATTTGCAATAAACTTTTCTTATTGTTGTGATGGCTAATGTTCTAGGAGTGCATGTACACAGGAGCGTTTTTGCTAAAAGCTTTCAAAGAGGATAAGGCCATGTTGATTTGCTTATATATGTGGATGACATTCGCGCGCGCATGAATTTTCGGCCGTTTCCATAAAAAAGTTTTTAACCATGCTGTAAATCATACAAAACAGTTGCAAAATTAGCAAATATATACCGTATGTTGCACCAAAAATATTTGAAAACAATATCAATGTCGTAGAATGAAAATGTAAAGAAACGGATTTGAAGAGTAGATTATTTGCCATACCATACCCTTAGTCATGTGTTCAACCTTCATGACCATGAAGATTTCAGAATGAAAGCAACTTTTTTTGCCAACCTTTTTTTATTCGCACGCTCGCATCAGTTTTGGGGTTCCCAGAGGATGTCATTCATATAATCAAATCAACATGGCCTAAGTTTTTAAAAAAATAGCTAGTTTCCCTCCCTCCCACTGCCCCCCACCCCAAAGACTTCGATATGTCCCCGAATGAAACGTAAAAACACTTAAAACCAAGGTCAAATTTTTGCCATTCACAGCGTGTTTCTGTGAGATTTGATGTATATTACAGAGAAATATCGGAATGACTTGCGTTACTCGTGATATGCGAGTGCGCTGATAGAACTCGGTGTTGTTTTTAGTGGCAGACAACCAAGATGCCAAAGTGTAAGTAATATTTCACAGCGGGCTTGGCTCGCCGATCAAAAACAAAACCGGCGTCAGGAACTGTGTGACAGTCTGGTTCCTCAGAACTTGTTTGAACTTGCTCGCTACCCTCTAAGCTGAAGTATGGTGACAGAATCTTTGATATGACGAAAGCGTTCGCCTCACAGAAAGAAGAAGTATCATAGTATGTGTATCAAGTACTCTCCAAGCAGAGGGTTATTATATTTAGGCTTCGACTTGTTTCTTGACGTGTTGTGGGGTATTTTTATCGGGCTTTCTTTTCTATACTGGTATCTTCTTTGACGCTACCCTGGGTGCCAAACTAGTATCGGACCGTTAGCCGTTTTCCTTCGGCAGCCAAGAGCACTTCGCCCGCCGGTCTAAATTACCGCTACGGGGGAGTCTAGCCCGGGAGAGTTCTAGGGCCAGCCGAACTCCCCTGTCCGGCTCAACTCCCCCGTAGCGGTAATTTAGATAGGCGGGGGATTGGGCTCTTGGCTGCCGAGAGAAAACGGCTAACGGCCCGATACTAGTTTGGCACCGAGGAGGGTACTTTGACGCGAGCCAGCCGGGTGGCAAATGGAAACTGTCTGTGCAGCAACCAAAATATCTGCTTGGAGATTATGTGTCCAAGCGTACGGTAACACTCGACTGTCGACTCGGGGCTTGCTTTAGTTAATGGTGACACGGTCAGAACAGGAGCCGGGGTTGACACGAAAAGTACAGCGCTTTCTTCTTGTGACGATTGAGTACTTCGTAGGTGGAGGCTTGGAAATGGTTTTGTTTTTGTAGTTGAGAAGGTTTGAAAATGGGTCTGGAGAAGGTTTGGAAGGTGTCTTGAGAAGGTTTGGAAAGTGTCTGGAGAAGGTTTGGAAAGTGTCTGGAGAAGGTTTGGAAAGTGTCTGGAGAAGGCTAAGGATACTGCATCAAGATCGCATGACGACTTACGACTAAAGTGACCGAACTTTAGTGCCCCAAGTGTCGCTATGTAACATATTACATAAGACCACATGATTCCATTCCTACATTGGGACTTTTCCACATCTAAATCACAAAGATGTTAAACTAAGGTACTCCTAAGTGTCAAGTTAGGAACATAATGTAAGTGCAGCTTGCACTTGGTATACGAACCTGTCGTATACAACAAACAAAGAAAGTCTATTATATAAGTTTTGAATGAAGATGTGTTTTCCCGCCATTTTATCTAGAACGACGTACAAGACATCGTACCGCCAGGTGTATAAGATGGAGGCGAGCACGCGGACGTCTTACGTCTGCTGTCCGGGCTGGACTCAGAGACACAAGAGGGCAAAGGGCTGCTTACAACGTGAGTTTTATGGTACAATGGGGTAGGTGGGTGGGTACGTGTAAGTAGGTGAATGGCTGTCTGGTTGGCTGTCTGGCTGGCTAGCTGTCCGTCTGACTGGTTGACTGGCTGTCTGGTTAGCTGTCTGGCTGTTTGGCTGGCTGTCTGGTTAGCTGTCTGGCTGGATGTCTGGTTAGCTGTCTGGATGGTTGACTGGCTGTCTGGTTAGCTATCTGGCTGTCTGGCTTGTTGACTGGCTGGCTTGTTGGTTGGCTGTCTGGTTAGCTGTCTGGTTGACTGTCTGGTTAGCTGTCTGGCTGTCTGGCTTGTTGACTGGCTGGCTGGTTGGTTGACTGGCTGTCTGTCTGCTGGTTAGTTGGCTGTCTGGCTGTTTACCAGCTGGTGTGCTGTCTGTCTGCTATCTGTCTGTCTGCCTGTATGTCTCTCTGTATGTCCGTCTGAAGGACTGACTGGATAACTGACTTTCTGACTGACTTCACTGAATGGGTGTCCGTCTGGTTAGCTATTTGTTTTGTTGGCTAGCTGGCTGGCTAGCTGAAGATCTTCCAATACGGCTGTCATTAACCATGACCTGCTGCCACCTGTTACAGCTGTGTGCAGTAAGCCATGTGTCCACGGCAGGTGCATCAGACCGGACACCTGCGAGTGCAGGAGAGGGTGGTCAGGGGATGTCTGCGACACAGGTAAGGAAGAAGGCCCCTACTAGTAGTGTATTCACCATTTTCCAATTCCCAGGATGCTTTGCGCCTGGGGGTTAAAATTCCCAGGTTGCATATCGCCATGCGATCCTGTGGCCATGCAACCGGGCAACGTGAGGTCTATTTGTGTTAGATAATTACCTCTTTAGATATCGAATAATCCGTTTGCTTCACTAGTTGACACAGTTACAACAGATGTAGCCTAGTATACGTCATAAGTGTATCATTCCCATGTTGACGTGTTGTTTCTTGGCACGACAACTCCGTTGTCAGTATGCAAAAACTTATTGCGCTTGAGTGTACTGCAGCAATCCAACTTCTTAAATCAGACAGATAACAACGTACCGTGAGATGATTCGAAATCCAAGCTACCGCTGATGACCTGTTATAACCGGTCTGTTGAACGGTTATGGTTGCATTATGATGTCTTTTGTCGGCGTAAATATCAGGGGTGCCGGAGTATGTGCAATTTTACGGAATACAGTGCAATTTTACGGAATACAGTGCAATCGTATTATACTAGTAAAATTGCACTGTATTCTATATATATATAATACGATTACACTGTATTCCGTCACTGTATACTAATAACATATATAATAGTAAAATTGCACTGTATTCCGTAAAATTGCACTATATACTCTGGCACCCCTGAATATGTAGATTGCAGCTTGGATACTGAAACAGTCTCAGTCTAGGTCTGTGCGTTGGCTGCAGTTCACATGACCTCTGCGCAGCGCTATATAAAAGATGGCGTCAAAAAAGATGTCATTCAGGCAACATTACATGTATGTCTGGAATGTTAATATAATAATAAAGTATTGAATTGAAAATTGAATAGAAAATCATGATGCAACCTTGACCAACATACCAACAAAAATCGTGCATAATTCGGGATTCGCGCAGGCGCAGTACGTTCTACTGACGTGCTACATATCATTAACGGACTATTTGCTTTCCCGCATGCGCAGATGAGAACGAGTGTGACGCGGACGCACACGGGTGTGAACAGGAGTGTGTGAACAGTAAGGGGAGCTTCATTTGTACCTGCCGGGCGGGGTACAGACTTAACAGCGACGGCAAGACGTGTGCAGGTAAACGTGTATTGATATTTACATCTGTCACGCATAACGCATATCTGACTGGGTCCTTAGTAATGATGAAAGCATGGCTGTAGGCATTATCGGCATTAGGACTGAAATATGCCGCATTTGCTCGCAAATTCGCACCTGCACTGTTTCTCCTATTTCCCTGGAAGACAGCTTTTCATCATTCATTTGACCCTGAAGTCGACATCATAATCATCATCATCATCGTCATAGTCTTTCATCCTAAAGGACGCTCTGATCACTCAAAGTTCACTGTTTGTCGATGAGCGAGTGAAATATGCCGCATTTGCTTGCAAATTTGCACCTGTACTGCATCTCCTATTTCCCTGGAAGACAGCTTTTCATTTGACCCTAAAGTCGACATCATCATCATCATCATAGTCTTTCATCCCGAATGACGCTCTGTTCACTCAAAGTTCACTGTTTGTCGATGAGCGAGTGAAATATGCCGCATTTGCTCGCAAATTTGCACCTGTACTGTATCTCCTATTTCCCTGAAAGACAGCTTTTCATTTGAGCCCGAAGTCGACATATCACCTAACGATTCTAGCATTGGGGTGGAATATGCCGCATTTGCTCGCAAATTTGCACTTGTACTGTTTCTCATATTCCCCGGGAAAATAGCTATTCATTGGCGCTTAAAGTCGCCATATCACCTAACGATTCCAGCATTGGGGTGAAATATGCCGCATTTGCTTGCGAATTCGCACCTGTACTGTTTGTCGTATTTCCATGGAAGACAGCTATTCATTTGAGCCTGAAATTTGACATCATCATTATCATAGGCTTTTTCATCCTGACGGACGCTATGTTCACTCAACGTTTTTGTCGGTGAGCGAGTGAAATATGTCGCATTTGCTCGCAAATCTGCACCTGTACTGTATCTCCTATTTCCCTAGAAGACAGCTATTCAATTGAGCCTGAATTCATCATTATCATAGCCCATAGTCTTTTTCATTCGGAAGGACGCTCTGATCACTCAGGGTTCACTGTTTGTGGACTCGTCGATGAGCCAGTGAAATATGCCGCATTTGCTTGCAAATTTGCACCTGTACTGTATCTCCTATTTCCCTGAAAGACAGCTTTTCATTTGAGCCTGAAGTCGACATATCACCTAACAATTCCAACGGCACTTTAAGCCCTTGAGTGCGGCGGTGACGAAAGACATCGCGTGAGGACAACTGTGGGAAGATGCACTCCGTGCCGTACACTTGAGTAGGGCCACTTACAGCCTGTGTAAATCAGAGACAGACGGGTCTAAACTTACTTTGGAAGTGTGGACAAGATACTGCTTCTCAACTTTGTCTGTCATCTTCTGCGATAGAGTAGATCTTAATTAAGCCCTTGTCACATATTCAGAACCTTCCCCCGACCACCAACCAACCAACGAAGGTTGGCTGAAATTCGGGAGCAGTCTGGTCGGATTTAGGCCACGCCTATACGAATCGAATCATATTTGAGTTGAATTTGGGTCAAATTTGACTCCCGACCACTGATGACGTACTCCCAACCAACAGCCAAACAGTCCCCAACCAAGTCCCAACCTCCCGTCCATACCCGAATGTTTGTAACATAGCGCAGCCGAGCAGTATCAAACCTAACTTTACTTTATTTTACTTTATTACTTACTTACTGAACTTTACTTTTTGCCAAGCACTAGCAAACCACAACCAACCTACTCCCAACCTACTCCCGACCGTGTACGGTTGGGAGGAGTTCGGTAGAGCATATTCGGCTATGCGTGACAGGGGTAGCGTATCGTGACGTTGACAAATACGATAGGCTATACTGGAGATGTGGACGGTTGTCAGAACACGGTCGTACAAAGAACAAGGTCACAATCTTTCCAATCAATCTTCTTGTAGAGTTCTTTGTTCAACTTTCCTAACCAACGGTGCGTTACCAAATGACGCCAGGTTAGAAAGCCAGGACGAAAGCTGAACCAGGCATCTTCAACTTGAATTACATACTAAGCAGTGTACTAAGCTAAAAACGTTTGTGCGTACATAAAACTGTTCACCAAGGATTAACAAAATCATGTCGATTGAAGTCATCCCTGTTTTCACAAAGGAGTGACTATATGATGTCCTACGTGAAGTGAAAGCAAAGGGTCCAGTCACGTACGTTGTACGATCGTCACACGATTAATTGCAGACTGGGGGCATTCTTAGCATAGCCGTGAACGTGTCGCTCAAAAGTGTTTTAAATCCTTATTCAAGATCCTTGTCGGCTATTGCCTCTGTCACAAACCTGCGCCAGCCGATCAAAATGTTTCAAAATGTTTCAAACATCTGGGTATGGACGGGAGGATCGGCCATGGTTGGCTGGTGGTTGGCTGGTGTTCGGGAGTAAGTCTGCAGTGTTTGGGACGCGTTCGGGGGGAAAATTTGATTCAAATTTAACCCAAATTCGATTCGATTCTGGTATAGGTAGGCGAAGTCTAAATCAGGCCAAATCACTCCCGAACTTGCAGCCAACCTTGGTTGGTTGGTTGGTTGGTGGTCGGGGGAAGGTTGTGGATGTGTGACAGGCGGCTTACTGACCAGACAAGATGCATCACAGACATCCACAGCTCGTCTGTCGTCACACAAATAAATCACGGCCCAATTTTCCTGCCAAACGGCGTCTACACTAGACTACAGGAGCCGCGGGTTTGTTTTCCCCGTCCCTCCCCAAACTGTCAGTCAGGAGGTTACGAAAGACCAAAGGTACAAATTCAACAAGGCTTCATAGGGTCAGTTTTCATCGTTCAAAACCCATTTTCACCGTTCAAGACCCAATTTTCATCCTTCAAAACCCAATTTTTCATCGTTCAAACCCCAATTTTTCATCGTTCGAAACCCAGTTTTTCATCCTTCAAAATCCAATTTTTCATTCTTCAAAACCCAATTTTTCATCCTTCAAAACCCAATTTTTCATCGTTAAAAAACAATTTTTCATCGTTCAAAACCCAATTTTTCATCGTTCAAAACCCAATTATTCATCCTTCAAAACCCAATTTTTCATCGTTCAAAACCCAATTTTTCATCATTGACAACCCAAATTTTCATCATTGACAACCCAAATTTTCATCGTTCAAAACCCGATTTCTCGTCCTTCAAAAGCCAATATCTCGTCCTCCAAAACTCAATTTTTCATCGTTCAAAAGCCAATTTTTCGTCCTTCAAAACCTTATTTCTCTGTCGTCACACAAATAAATCATGGCCCAATTTTCCTGCCAGATGGCGTCTACAGGAGCCATGGGTTTGTTTTCCCCGTCCCTCCCCAAGCTGTCAGTCAGGAGATAGATTTCCGACCGACTGTTTGTTTTTCTTGTTCTCCTCTCTACAGCGACTGGTGAGGTGATCGATGCCAAGTACGAGGCGCTCATGCTGAGGGTGGAGGAACTGGAACAGGTACCGAATTTACATACCGAATTTACATTAGTCCATGTTAATTTGATTATATGGATGACATCCTCTGGGAACCCCAAAACTGATGCGAGCGTGCGAATAAAAAAGTTTTGGCAAAAAAAGGTGCTTTCATTATGAAATCTACATTTTCGTCTTTTTCGTTTGATTTTGGCATTCTACGACATTGGTATTGTTTTCTAATATTTGTTTTGCAACCTAAAAAAAACGGTATATACTTGCTCATTTTGCAACTGTTTTGTACGATTTACAGTATGGTTGAACCCTTTTATGGAAACGGCCGAAAATTCATGCGCGCGTGGATTTCATCCATATAATCAAATCAACATGGCCTCTTCGTCGGTATCCTGGTCTTGAATAGAAATTCTGGTTGACAAAATAGAAAACCTTACAAAACGTCTGAAAATCTAAAGGAAAAGTCCCAAAAATAGGTCTCTGTCTGGAGAATAAAGATCTTTCATTAAGCTTAATCAACTTTGAAATGGATTCTTTTTCATGGCCGTCAAATTGTACATATACCTCCATTTAGTTTATTTATACTTTCAACAACGTCTAGGATATAAAAGACAACATGTACAGGAACTCTCGTTTGAGAAATTCTCAGCTTAATTGATTTTGAAGTCGGAGGTTTTCGATGGTCTGATGAATTATAAATACGTTCCCTAAGTTTATTGATACTTTCAGCAAACGTCAAAAATGGAAACTTTAAAGAAACATGCAAAGGAATACTGGTTTGGAAAATTCTCTGCCTAATTGATTTTGAAGTCGGAGGTTTTCTATGGTCTGATGAATTATAAATACATCTCTTGAGTTTATCGATACTTTCAACAACGTCAAAGATGAAAAAAAATGCAACATGTACAGGAATTTTCCAAGTTCGGAAATTCTCAACCTAATTGATTTTGAAGTCGGAGGTTTTCTATGGTCTGATGAATTATAAATACATCTCTTGAGTTTATTGATACTTTCAACAACGTCGAAGATGAAAAAAAAAGATTTGCAACATGCACAGGAATTCTCGATTCGGAAATTCTCAGCTTAATTGATTTTGAAGTCGGAGGTTTTCGATGGCCTGATGAATTATAAATACATCTCTTGAGCTTATTGATACTTTCAACAACGTCAAAAATTAAAAAAAAAGATTTGCAACATGCACAGGAATTCTAGATTCGGAAATTCTCAGTGTAATTGATTTTGAAGTCGGAGGGTTTCTATGGTCTGATGAATTATAAATACATCTCTTGAGTTTATTGGTACTTTCAACAACGTCGAAGATGAAAAAAACAAAAGATTTGCAACATGCACAGGAATTCTCGATTCGGAAATTCTCAGCCTAATTGATTTTGAAGTCGGAGGGTTTCTATGGTCTGATGAATTGTAAATACATCCCCTAAGTTTATTGATACTTTCAACAACGTCAAAAATTTAAAAAAAGATTTGCAACATGCACAGGAATTCTCGATTCGGAAATTCTCAGTCGAATTGATTTTGAAGTCGGAGGGTTTCGATGGTCTGATGAATTATAAATACATATCTCTTGAGTTTATTGGTACTTTCAACAACGTCGAAAATGAAAAAAAAAAGATTTGCAACATGCACAGGAATTATCGATTCGGAAATTCTCAACCTAATTGATTTTGAAGTCGGAGATTCTCGATGGCTTGATGAATTGTAAATACATCCCGTAAGTTTATTGATACTTTCAACAACGTCGAAAATGAAAAAAAATGCAACATGTACTAGGAATTTTCCAAGTTCGGAAATTCTCAGTCTAATTGATTTTGAAGCCGGAGGTTTTCTATGGTCTGATGAATTGTAAATACATCCCGTAAGTTTATTGATACTTTCAACAACGTCAAAAATGAAAAAAAAAGATTTGCAGCATACACAGGAATTCTCGATTCGGAAATTCTGAGCCTAATTGATTTTGAAGTCGGAGGGTTTCGATGGTCTGATGAATTATAAATACATCTCTTGAGTTTATTGATACTTTCAACAACGTCGAAAATGAAAAAAAAGAACGAATTTGCAACATGCACAGGAATTCTCGATTTGGAAATTCTCAGCTTAATTGATTTTGAAGTCGGAGGTTTTCAATTGCCTGATGGATTATAAATACGTCCCTTAAGTTTATTGATACTTTCAACAACGTCGAAAATTACAAAAAAAACTATTTTTTTTGCAACATACACAGGAATTCTCGGAAATTCTCAGCCGGAGGTTTCGGATGGTTTGATGAATTGTACATACATCTCTTGAGTTTATTATTACTTTCAACAACGTCGAAAATGAAAAAAAATGCAACATGTACAGGAATTCTCCAAGTTCGGAAGTTCTTAGCTTAATTGATTTTGAAGTCGGAGGTTTTCGATGGTCTGATGAATTGTAAATACATCCTGTAAGTTTATTGGTACTTTCAACAACGTCAAAAATGAAAAAAAAAAGATTTGCAGCATAGACAGGAATTCTCGATTCGGAAATTCTGAGCCTAATTGATTTTGAAGTCGGAGGGTTTCGATGGTCTGATGAATTATAAATACATCTCTTGAGTTTATTGATACTTTCAACAACGTCGAAATTAAAAAAAAAATGCAACAAGCACAGGAATTCTCGATTCGGAAATTCTCAGCTTAATTGAGTTTGAAGTCGGAGGTTTTTGGTGGTCTGATGAATTGTAAATACATCTCTTGAGTTTATTGATACTTTCAACAACGTCGAAAATTAAAAAAAAAAAAGATTTGCAACATGTACAGCAATTCTTGATTCGGAAATTCTCAGTCTAATTGATTTTGAAGTCGGAGGTTTCGATGGTCTGATGAATTGTAAATACATCTTTTGAGTTTATTGATACTTTCAACAACGTCGAAAATAAAAAAAAAAGAAAATTTGCAACATGCACAGGAATTTTCGATTCGGAAATTCTCATCTTAATTGATTTTGAAGTCGTAGGTTTCGATGGTCTGATGAATTGTAAATACATCTCTTGAGTTTATTGATACTTTCAACAACGTCGAAAATGAAAAAAAGAAGATTTGCAACATGCACAGGAACTCTCGATTCGGAACTTCTCAGTCTAATTAATTTGGAAGTCGGGGGTTTTCGGTGGTCTGATGAATTGTAAATACATCTCTTGAGTTTATTGGTACTTTCAACAACGTCGAAGATGAAAAAAATGCAACATGCACAGGAATTTTCGATTCGGAAATTCTCAGCTTAATTGATTTTGAAGTCGGGGGTTTTCTATGGTCTGATGAATTATAAATACATCTCTTGAGTTTATTGATACTTTCAACAACGTCGAAAATGAAAAAAAAAAGATTTGCAACATGCACAGGAATTCTCGTTTTGGAACTTCTCAGTCTAATTGATTTTGAAGTCGGGGGTTTTAGATGGTCTGATGAATTGTAAATACATCTCTTTAGTTTATTGATACTTTCAACAACGTCAAAAATGAAAAAAAAATTGCAACATGCACAGGAATTCTCGATTCGGAAATTCTCAACCTAATTAATTTTGAAGTCGGGGGTTTTCGATGGTCTGATGAATTATAAATACATATCTCTTGAGTTTATTGATACTTTCAACGTCGAAAATGAAAAAAAAGCAACATGTACAGGAATTTTCCAAGTTCGGAAGTTTTTAGCTTAATTGATTTTGAAGTCGGAGGTTTCAAATGGTCTGATGAATTGTAAATACATCCTACACGTTTATTGATACTTTCAACAACGTCGAAAATTATAACAAAAATTGCAACATGCACAGGAATTTTTCATTCGGAAGTTCTTAGCTTAATTGATTTTGAAGTCGGAGGTTTCCGATGACCTGATGGATTGTAAATACACCCCCTAAGTTTATTGATACTTTCAACAACGTCGAAAATTAAAAAAAATGATTTGCAACATGTACAGGAATTCTCGATTCGGAAATTCTCAGTCTAATTGATTTTGAAGTCGGGGGTTTTCTATGGTCTGATGAATTATAAATACATCTCTTGAGTTTATTGATACCTTCAACAACGTCGAAGATGAAAAAAACAAAAGATTTGCAACATGTACAGGAATTCTCGAATTCTCAGTCTAATTGATTTCTCAGTCTAATTGATTTTGAAGTCGGGGGTTTTCGATGGTCTGATGAATTGTAAATACATCCCCTAAGTTTATTGATAAAGGAAAAACTTTAAGGAAACATACAAAGAAGTTCCCTTTTCGAAAATTCTCAGCCTAATTGATTTTGAAGTCGGTGGTTTTCAATGGACTGATGAATTGTACATACCCCCATACAAGTTTATTGATACTTTCAGCTTTGTTGAAAATGATAACAAACAACTTTCTTAACTTAGTTCGTAGGTGGTCGGATGTTAAACCCATCCCAGAAGGAAAAGATAATAAAATTCCGTCGAAAAAAACACGTATATTAAGACAGGTTGATCCTTAGTGATACAAATAAGTGTCGGCACTTCAAAGAGACAATATGGCGGATTGTCAACATGGCGGAGGTCGCGAATCGGCGGACGTGAGAATAACGAGCCAGGTTCTGTTTCCAGTAGCAAATCTAAGATGGCGACGAGCGACGAAGAAAGCCGACATGAAAGTCGGAAGGCCGAGAGGACACCGAGGGTTAATCCTAGTTAAGCAGGGATCAGCTGCTGGTTAATCCGCAGGGTTGTTTGGACAGATGGCTTTGTTGAAACTTGCGTTGGACAGAAACACTGTTGAAGGCTATGTCCATGTTCTTCCATCACACACGACTAAAACTGTTCGACCATGTCGACAAGGACACAGGAAATTATTTTTAAATTAAATGGAAACTGGAACAGATAAACTGGAAAGGGTACAGAACCAAGATTCTGCACCAACAACTATGAAAGGGGTGCTAGTGTAACGTTCAAAATAAAAGAAACCTACAGTGGGGGTCGCTGTCCAGACATGCATGATGTACAAAATGACTAATAAACCGTTGGACCAGTATTCTTTATCTAATGCCAGCCCAGAAAAGACCAACAGTCATGCCTTAAAATATCAGAGTTGTCAACCAAGAATTGAGGTCAACAGTTCAAAAACTCGTATTGTCCAAGTACTACTAGTCGTAGAGCGGAACGAGTACTCGTTTCGATCAAGTACGTATACAGTTGGGCATCATCACTAGAAAGCTTTTAACAACCCCTGCAATTTTTAACAACCCCAAAAGAGGAGCAAGGGGCCAGTTCTGGCCTAATCATTTAGGCAGTAGGCAGGCAATTTTTTATGCGAAGGTTGGGTGTAACAGGTCGTTAGGTGTTATATAGCCAGCTGCCGCCGCGCCGCGTGTCTGCGAAGCTGGTGTGTTACGCAAAGGGCAACGACAGTCTAACTTCAGGAATTAAATGGTTTCATTGATTTCACAAGCACGATTATAAAAGCACCCCATACAATAGGTTGAATTACGTGTGCACACAACGCATAGCATAGTGTTTGTAAAATCATATAATTTGCTGCAACTTATAAAACACTTGATTTATAAAGAAGAAATATGATGATATGACTATCATGAGCCACCGAGTAAGGAAAAGCCTCCTTGCACTAAAAGAATAGATGGTGTCTTAATTTGTGTTTCATCAAGGAGATTAAAGACTTGGTTTCATGGACTTACATGCATCTAATATTTTCCAGTAGCTTTACTGACATCTTCATCCTCTGATCTGTACCTGTATATCCGGAATAACCGCCCTTCGGCGTATACGACGTATGCGACCGGGCATTTAAAGATGACAGAAAGTATTCGAAGATTTTAGATGAGTATAAAATTGAGTTCTTCATTGCAATTTCATGCCCGATTGTTAATTGCAAACTGGCAAGGGCAATGAGCGAGTACAGAATATATTGAAGAATGGTATAAAACCAGGTGCTAACATAAAGTTCCACTACGACTAATCTAAGGTTCTATCTCTACTTAAAACTAATAAAGTAGTAAAGACACAGCATTGGTTTCGTCGACTTCTTCAAGTTTATTTCCCAGTTACTTGCGGTCAACGGTGACAAGCAAAACGTCCGCTTCTGCCAAACAGTGATTAATTTGTTGCTCCGTTGGAGGGTGAAATTCACACTCACCGCGGGCAGAGGTTGTTTATGGGGGGTCATGCGGTATAAAGTTTTTGCCAAGTCGGTTAAACGCTGCTGACACATTCCTGACAAGGTCTTCGGTGACGGTTGTTTTGTATTTTCACCACATGTCAGTCTTTCAAATGTTTGGGAATCGACTGTGTTTCTCTGATGTGATGGTGTGCATGTGTTTTACTATGGGAAAGGGCATACGAGGATAGAACCCTACTTCATCCAGAACCATGCTCAGCTGGCATGTTCCTGGATTGTCGGGCAAACCTACGTTCTGGAATACGGAGAGACAATCCAGAACCGTTGCAATAAGACGGTTCTTGGTTGTAGAAAGCTTATCCTTGGTTGTATGAAGACAGTTCTTGGTTGTAGAAAGCTGGTTCTTGGTTGTAGAAAGCTGGTTTTTGATTGTAGAAAGCTGGTTCTTGGTTGTATGAAGACAGTTCTTGGTTGTAGGAAGCTGGTTCTTGGTTGTAGAAAACTGGTTCTTGGTTGTAGAAAGCTGGTTTTTAGTTGTAGAAAGCTGGTTCTTGGTTTTAGGAAACTGGTTCTTGGTTCTAGGAAACTTGCTCTGGAATGCTGTTTGTTTCGTTGTAGGAAGCTAGTTTTTGGTTCTTAGGTCTACAAGCTTGGTTCTCACTAGGAATCAGGATGAGCGTTGTCCAAAACATACTCTTCTGTAAACCATGGAAGACGTAATGTCCCACCTTTTCCAAAATTTGTGGGTTTGGGGAAGTTGAAAGAAGAATAGTTTGTTCTCTGTCTGTAAGTTTAGAGAAATTGGGATAAATTGTAGAGGGAAGCTAGTTTTTGGTTATTGGAACTCGGTTCTTAGGTCTACAAGCTTGGTTCTCACTTCTAGGAATCAGGATAAGCGTTGTCCAAAACATACGGAGTCAGATGACAGATAAACCATGATAGATGGAAAGCACTTGCCTTTTCTTTAGACTCGCGCCAAGTTCAACGTCGTTTGCGGTTTGACGTCTCGCCAAATCGGCTGCCTGCGTTCCTGTTTGCTTAAACTTCAGCTCTTAAAATCTGAAGAGTTAGGGTCGGCTGTCTTTCATGCAGCATGACAGGAAGGGCGCTACAGGATGATGCAAGAAAAGAAACGAAACGGAAACAGCACTAGACAAGAAAGTTCCACACATAGCCGAATATGGCCCCAAAAACACAGAAACAAAACACTTCTAGTTTATCTGTCCTGCTTTGCTTTCCTTCTCTTTTGGGATGGGAGGTTTGACTATCCGTAGTTTTTCAAACGTCTTGTAAACGCATTTTTTCCATTGTAAAAGTGGCTCCGATAGTGTAAGTTGTACCTAACTTGAGTTCGCAGTTACTTCGTCCATGTTCTTTTACTTGTATTCATCACTGTGCTTCTGAATAATAATAAAAAAAAAAACACATTGCCGTACACGTGGCCAATCATGGTTAGGAGTAGGTCGGGAGCAAGGTCGGCTGGTGTTCTTCAAGGTCGGCTACAATTCGGCTGCGCCAACCGAATGTTTTCAGCTGTTTCGGCCATGGTTGGCTGGTGGTTGGCAGGTGGATGGCAGGTGGTTGGCTGGTGGTTAGCTGGTGGTAGTCTCGTGGTAGGCAGTTGGTTGTCTGGTGGTTGGCAGTTGGTTGGCTGGTGGTTGACAGGTGGTTGGCTGGTGGTTGGCTGGTGGCCGTTACTACATCCAATTTTCGATCCCGTTTTGTGAAACGAGACAGCGTTGAAACAATACAACAGTCACTGTGTTTTTGATAGAATTTTATCCAACCAATATAGATCTACTTTTTTCAAAAGGCTTTTCTTGTTGAGTAAAGAGACTCTTTTTACACAACCAGGTCTTTTATTCAGCCGACGTTTCGGTGACCGTCTGTCACCTTCCTCAGGGCAATTCTGACTGGTTCACATTGCACTGCAGCACAGTTGTCGCTGCTACAGATGCATTCCCATTTACATATCTACATATATGCGTGATTGTATCTAGAATGCGTTCCTAAACGTGCGGAAGTTGGATCTGGACCTGTTCAAGAAAGTGTGCACACTTTTTAAAAGTCTTTCCTTGTTTCCTAGTCTATGAAGAGGATGACAAAGATGGTTGCAGACCGGCCTAACGACGGAGTGTTGCCGACCCTCCCGCCACAGATAGACAGGATCGGTTCTCTCAGTGAACAGATCTCCATACTGGAGGAGAGATTAGACGACTGTAAGTCTGTCTTCTGTTTTTCTTGTTTGTTTGTTTGTTTGTTTGTTTGTTTAAAAGTTAATGAAAACTTTTGGTCCAACACAAAAAGTCCTCTTACCTAGAGTCGAAAGACCAGTCACTCTGGTCTTGCTCAGTAGACTGACCCAGTGAGACTTGTCACGTGGCTTCTTTGAAGTGTGACGTCAACCACCCTTCACTTAACCGCGACGGAGGCCGACATCGTCTACCAGATACCTATGACCCAGTGTTGACGTCACACTTCAAAGAAGCCACGTGACAAGCTTCACTGGGTCAGTCTACTGAGGAAGACCAGAGTGACTAGTCGAAAGCTCTAGGTAAGAGAATTTTTTGTGTTGGACCAAAATTTTTAACTTCAAAACATGTAACTACCAACACAGATGAACTTTCATGATTGTTTGTTTGTTTGAACAATTCTTTATTCATAAGTAGCTCAAATCTGTTCCTTTCTTTCTCTATCTCCTATAGGTACCTGTCGGGGTGACAGGGATTTGGACTACTACAAAAAATGAAGAGCCCCCCTCCCCAATAGCTGTGACAACAGTCTCTATCCAAGCAATACATGCCGTTACATGGAGGACCGTAGCAGCGTACATGTACACAGAAACAAAATGAGATTTCCAAAATGGAAAATGTAAAATTCCATTTGCTGTCAATATATATATATCTATCTTCGTCAGATATATTTGATCAAAACAAGGACATTATACTGAAAAGTACAGGTATGCTGTGCAACAAAAGTACTTTGTGTGTTCCAACCTATATCAAAAGCGTTGACTTCTATCTGTATTTAGACATCTATTTTTCAAAACGCCTTGAATGTGCTGAAAAGTAACGGTTTCTATGGTAAGATCTCTCAAAATCTGTACTGCATGTAAAGGCATTTCAGTGTATGTAAAGGGTTCTTCTCACAGCTCGTAAAAATGTATAAAAGCTGTGGTGGTGACAGTGGTTCCCTGCCGTCTGAATCTTGTAAAACACACGATAGGTTGAAGATGACGACCACGTGCTAATCCTGCCCCCTACCGGTTAGTTCATGTACTACAACACTTCTTGACTACAATGTATAGTACAATGTAGTATGAACACCAATTTTAGCCTTTATAAGTTATCAAGATGCTTTACATAATCTTGGTTGTACTGCAATGATTTTAGGCCTTTAGAAATTTTGAAAACTTGTAAAATAAGACAATATCTGAAGACATCGACACATCAACAGCCATAAAGTCCCATAATTGTTCTTCTGATCTTCTATTATAAACATTAATAAACAAGACTTCACTCAGTATCACAATATTGAATTTACCTTCAATATGTTCACAATTTTTGGGACATATCTGTACATCATTATTATATTTCATTGTAAGATCATTTAATAATTTGAATAAGGCTGGTTCTTGTAGCTATGAATGATAAGAACATTTTAAAACAGGCCTTTACAATTTTTGAATGAAGATTTTACGTTGTAATGTTACATAGAGACAGTTATCGAATATAAATTTACTGTCTAGTCGTTGCTCGTTATCATGTTGAAGTTTTGCTGATGTTTACTTGAATGTTCTTTTTCCATTCACCTGATTGGTCAGCCATACTGATTAGATTACATGGATGACATACGATACTTTGCGTTCATTATTATGAAATATACGTGGCCAAGAAGGTTAAACAAATGACTGAACACACAGCATGGTATAAAAACACTAAATTTTTTCATTTTTCAAATCTTCTTCAACAATGTTGAATGGTCTAAAACAATTAGCCGTTCAACCAATGAGAGAGTGGCAATTATCAGTTCGACCAATGAGAGATATTTGGATTAGTATCATAATGTTATGACGAAAGTGGGCGGGGCTATGGGATTAAAACAAGATAGTGTGGCCTCATGGCATTTCAGAATATGTACCAATACATGTACATGCATTTATGTTATTGTAAACAGGCATCAAAATTTCAGCCTTGTATGTCACGTACTGTATCGGTGTAAGAACAACGATCCAGTAATAGAATACTACTAGTTGATGATAGTTGCAAGTCTTTGTTATAGGAAAATTGAATTAAAGGCAATAAAAAAAGTCAACTACAAGTATAAAGAGTATGGTTTTCTGTCACTGCAAAACAAATATGTCAGATTGTGGATCAGTGGGGCAGGGGTTCGAATCCCGACTACATCCAACTACATGTATCCCTACATGTAGTTGAGGGGCTTCATATGCACATACTGATATAACATCCTTGCATGAAATTATATATGTACACAAGAGATGACAAACACACATTGTTGTGTAAAGTGACTTTTTTTTATAATTTAAAAATATATTGCAGGATTGTTTGGTCCTACCATCTGACAGTACATAATTAGAATGCAAAAGCACCAACCTTCCTGATTGGTGGGTCTTATCGGACTCTACGATTGGCTAGTCTGTTAATTAGGCCCCTTTCTACTTTGCGGCGATCACCGAAAAAAACAAAATTGGATTTTGATGACCTTATACTCATTTTTTAATGGAAATATGATGCATGATGCCAAAGTATTATCCAAATGACAAGAAAATGCACAAAACGTTTAAAATATTGGATTTTGTCTTTGAAATTTGTTTACTGATCTTTCAAATATTTTTTGCTTCCTCACTGATCGCAGCTTCTCTTAGAAAGAGGTGTTACACTTTGTTGCAATTGATGGCCACTACATGAAAGTATGCTCTGTAATATCTTGAAAGCCCTTTTCTCTAATTTGCTATACAATATCCACTGCTATTTTTTTTTACTCCGGGAAACCAGTATTTCTTCATTCACCCTGGCTAAGAAACATTGGTATAATACAATACACCGGAAGCACATTACTTTTAGCATCATAACAAAGTGTGTAACCTATGTATGGCCACAGCAAGTAAATTTTATGGATGACATACTCCAAATCTAATGCGAGCGGGCAAAAAAACAAGGCGGGCCTAAAAAAACAAGGTTCCTACAATTTAAAATTTTGACTCAATCATTGTGCAAATGGTTTTGATTCAGTGGGAACATCACATAATTATACACAGCCAGCATCACATATCACTGCATCAAAGTAAGAAACAAAACATTAAATCAGAGCCTTTTCTTGTCTCCTCTCTTAATGACCTGTGCTTAGCTTGTTAGAGCACAAACGTACAATGAAGGTCTTTCATTCATTCAATTCTTAATAGTTTTCTACCATCCACCTTCTGGCATGACAACAGACATCTTTGCCCATTTTCGGCATGTTGACCACTGTCAGAGGGTAACAAAATTTCTTGTTTTTTTTCCAAAATCAGGCAAAAATTAATGCACGCTCTGATGTCATCCATAACAATTACTTGCTGTGGCCTAATGGACTCTTATATAAGACAATGGAAAGAATCACTAAATTTGTGACTAACATACAGTATTCCTGTGGACAATCGTCAAAGCTTTTGTAATACATACAATGTATGTACTACAATGTAATTTTGCCAAATAACCATTTCTAAAGTTCATGTGGTCACAAATTCTCTATATGAATCTGTATCAATATGATACATGTCGCATAAAGTAATCAGACAATTCATCCACAAAATTTAACGTAAATTATACATGTAGATTATACTTTGCTATGAATCACCAACTGAAAATGATTCAGAATGTTTCACATTTCCAGATGATAATTTGTACATGTACATGATCAAGCAACAAAAATTATCTTGCAAATGTAACAGTTCTAAAAGTGGATGTTATGTCACAAATGACAATCCATACTCTGGTGCACCAAGCATACTAACCCAAAAATCCTTCTACAAATTATTGCTTAGCATTCTATCAAATTACTGGGCCATTTTTTCTGATGATGACAGTAGCTTTTGCTATAAATCATAATCATAAGCATAAACCACATCAAAAATTAAATATGTTTTAGCACCTTTTATGCATCTGTGCTTGGTTCGGTTAAACATTATAATCTTAATTTTAATCATTACATCTTCCAACCATTTGCAACTTGCTACATTTTTGGTTTCCCTAAAAGAGTCAAAAGTAAAAAGCTTGGCTACTTTAATTGCATGATTAAACTTAAAAAAACAATTTGCAAAATACCAAGCTTAGGCCAGAAACAAAAATGTCACTGATGTTCAGTGTCTCGTATACTGCAGTCTTCAATATGCTTATAAAATCTCAACTGTGGTATACATAACAATGTCCCAAAATCAAGGACAAATTTAAATGAAAGTGTTAACACATCTCAGTACAGAGATGTTGGTAAACTTGCAGATTAAACAAGAATTACCAATACTTAACGCTCACACCTTCCTTTGAATAGGATGAACATTTTAAGAGACCTGGAGAGGCAAACAGTAAAAGAAGCATATTGACAAGTTACCAAGTTTTTTTCACCTCTTCCTGGGCATAATTACAAGATTCTCCATGCATGGGGTAAGAAAGTTCTGCAAGGGACAAAACAACGATAACACCACCAAGAAGTCTGGACCAAAAACCAACTCCACAAATAATCAAATAATTAGTGTGAAATTATTTAGGTACAGTACCGGTACTTCGGGATTATGTATTTTGGACCTGTACCTGATCAATTTTTCCGGTACAGAACCGGTACTGTGTACCGGTACACAGCTCTAATTTGCATGCACATAGCATAATTACAGAAAATGTACAGGTACAGTACAGATCTCTATTAACGTTCCTTCATTTACGTTTTACACCCGGTTTTAACCCATAATTTATTTTTTTGTGTGCAAAAGTAATGTTAGTTTTGTTTAACTCACAATTGCAAGTAAAAGTAGTGTAACATGTGGTTGAAACTTGTGCAAAAGTTGTATAAATTACGCAGAAATTTTGACTGAAAAAGTCGCGTAACACGCAGTAACAACTCGTGCAAAAGCCTTATAAACCGCATGCATATTTATTTGGATTTTTTGGAACAGAGTCGTGTTCTATTTGGGTCACCCGAGGTCAATTGCGGGTGATTATTGGGTTGTTTAATGTATGGATTGGGATGAATAATGACCTGTTTTGACTCTATTTGAGACATTAGGGCGTCATAATCCATGTGGAATGGAGCCTTCTGATTGGTCAACGTCATCCGGCTATATGATAATTAGCTGCAATCACGAGAGGCTATCTATAACACATAACCACACATGATTATATGAACATCTACGTGCATTTTACACCAGAGAGGAAGACGATTTACACTGCTTTTGGTTGCCTTTTGCACAACGTGATTTGCATGCGTGTATACAGAAAGTTATTCGAGATCTGTAGTGTACAAATCCAACCTTTTTCAACTCAAACCAAAATAGCAATGTACAAGTAATCACGCCTGCTAACATGTTCACTTCAGTAACACTGGTTTGTAATGATGACTTCATATTTCCCTAACCTCTGACCTTAAAACCTCTCCTTAAAACTCACTAAAGGACCTAAAAGAAACAAAAAAAGGGCTGAATTAATTTGCTTGTTTTCCTCAATTCTTACACTGCAACTGATTTTTAGCTAATGTTTTAATCTGTGATTAAAGAATCATTCAAAGGACCTACAATGTAGCGAGCTAAATACAGCCTAACCGAGGTGAGAATAGCCTGGTAACCATACCATGGCTGGCCGGTCCCTATACGGTCCTGGTAGTGTTTTCCGCAAACCCAGGCCTACTTGTGCAAGCCGGGAAATTTTTACGGGCTCAATTTCAAATACTTTATTCTACAGGGCAACAGTAATTAGAAAGGTCGGTTACCACGCTACAAATGTACAGACTTAAAGCTTACCGTATGAAAACAATTCAATATTGTTATATGTACACAAGCATGTGTAAATGACTGCGATTTAAAAGAGTCAACTTCAAGAAATAAAGTTTTAACTGTTGTGAATATGTCAAAGTAGAGACTGAATTGATAGAATCAGCGAATCTGGCATATTGCAATCTCTACCCTGCACCACATGCATGTCCTATCAGCAGCAAACCAGCATTCTACATGTAACTGCATTCAAGTTAACAATATACATGTACATACAACTGTAATAACAGCAAATAGTGAAGAATTTTTTCCTGTCATTTTTTTTGCAAAAATGCGTTTTATAAATATTACTGCAGGTCATTACATTTGTAGTTCATCTTTTTTTTCCTGCGAAGAGATTGACGTACTTTGTGCCTACTTTGCCCCCCTCCCACTCTTGTTCATCATCACAAGCTAAAAGATTCGGCTACTAAAGTGCAAAAAGCTTCCCTGACAAATTAGTTCCACACATTCTATCTGTGCTCTCTAGACCTTGTTCCAGACAAGACACTTTTTGTTGTTTTTGACACGGTCTTTATACCACTAACAACAGTACCAGACTCCAATACGGGTTGTTGAAAAATATGGAACAGTAGAAATTGTCCAAATAGACTGAATTAAAGGTAGTGTTCCTACCAGCCTGGAATTTTATCTATGATCTCAATTTTGTCACTCATAGCTAGACTTCTGGGTGTGTTTGGCAGTAAAATTAGACTCAAATCTAACTCAAATTTGATTCAATTGATACAGAAAGGTACAATGTATGCATGGGCTACATTTGCTCCCAAACGTGGTGCTCGGAGGAAGATTGTGTGACAGGGGCTGAAGCCATGCTGACAATGCAGGGCTCAAAATTAAAGGTGGTCCAATGGCCACTGACCACTAAAATTTAGGCTGGGACAACTAAAATAAGACACTTTGGGACATTTTTGGGACAATAGAAAAATACTCAACATCAGAATGTCAGCCCTTCTTTTGTTTATCAGGAACACGTCCCGACTTTTGGATCTGGAAAAATCCCCCCCAAATTTCCTGTCTACCCTGTAATTATAGTGCACCTGGGAGTGAACATAAGCAAAATAGAGTTGACTTCAAGTTGAAGTCATAGAATACTTCCAACAAAACAGTTTGGGACAGTTCATCCTCACTTCGGGACAATTGAAATTTATTTTTGGGACAGTGCTGGGACAATACGAAGAAAAGTTAATTTCGAGGCCTGCAAAGGCTCAGGACATTCTTTTCAAATAAAAAGAAAGTCTATCTCCAAAATGATAGTGTGCCATACATTTTGTATGTGGGCAAACTTCAGCCATCCTTGGTAGGTAAGGCCATGTTGATTTGATTATATGGATGACATCCACGCGCGCATGAATTTTCGGCCGTTTCAAAAAAAAAAAAGTTTTCAACCATATTGTAAATCGTACAAAACAGTTGCAAAATGAGCAAAAATATACCGTAAGTTACAAAAAAGCCATACCAATGTCGTAGAGTGCCAAAATCAAACGAAAAAAGACGAAATTGTAAAGAAATGAACTTGAAGACTAGATTATTCGCCAAACCATATTCTGTCCCATTTGTTCAACCCTCATGACCACGTAGATTTCATAATGAAAACAACTTTTTTTTTGTAAAACTTTTTTTATTCGCACGCGCGCACCAATTTTGGGGTTCCCGGAGGATGTCATCCATATAATCAAATCAACATGGCCTAAGTTTGGGGAAAGGTTCCGACTGTTTTTTTTCTATCGACCTATTGGAGTCTGGTAGAGACTATTACAGTTTTGACACCTAGTTTCTGTATAACCTCAGGTGGGTTGTATGTTGTTGCCGCTTGCATATTCTAATATTTGGACCCCGGGTTGCAGGTTTAGCTGTAGCCGTTGGGCTCCATTCTGGGAAGGGAGGTTTCGTTGAAGGTTTGCAGCATGACTTTGCGGACTTGTTCTGTGAGGTCTGTCACGTCATCCTTGGTGAGACCCTCGGTGGAGACTGGTGGAAGGACTGTTGCAGTTACCCTGCCTGTGTAGTAATCATAGTAAAAATACATGACCAGACGTCTGTCACCATGGTAACTGGTGTTGGGTTACATCATGTTGCAATTTTATAGTGGGAGGGATTTAGACTCCTGTGAATTGTGTTTTTTATGTTTACAGAAGGAAAACATATTGTTTTTGCTCTGCTCTGTTCCAAACACTGACCTGGTCAATGACCTGAACCAGACGTCTGTCACCATGGTAACTGGTGTTGGGTTACATCATGTTGCAATTTTACAGGAGGGATTTACATATTGTTTTTGCTCTGTTTCTTCTTCCATTCCAAACACTGACCTGGTCAATGACCTGAACCAGACGTCTGTCACCATATGGTAACTGGTGTTGGGTTACATCATGTTGCAATTTTATTGTACTAGGACAAGTAGGAGGGATTTAGACTCCTGTGAACGTGTTTGAGTATGAATTAACAGAGCAGACCATATATGCGAAGGTAAACCTTATGCATTTGCTTTGCAAATGTTACCTTTCTAGTTTACAATGTAAACTCTTTCTTTGACATTTTCAAAAATATATTCATATACATTTGTATACATGTACATGATCATACAAAGATTGCAAAGAAGAATTTTACTCTTTTGTTCTTACCTGTTTCAAACTTCCTTTCCTTCTTGTTGTAGAAGTGGGAGAAAGATGAGAAGACCACTGGAACAATGGGGATCTGAAACATCATCACAAGGAGAGAGTGCAGTTCCACCATTAACAGCTAGAGGGCAGTTATGCACAAGCCAAAGCAACATGCAGCCCATACACTTCCTTGTTGTATGTGTAGAAGTCAGGGAGAAAGACAAATGGCCACTTGAACAATGGAATGGGGATCTGGAACACGATCCCAAAGCTTCTGTATGGAAAGATTGCAGTTCAATCACTATCAGCTAGAGGGCAGTTGTGTGTGCACAAGTTATAGTTCACAGTACACATACATGTATAGGTAGTCTACACACCTGTTGTGAGAGATAATTATCAGTGAACAGGTGTGCTTACCTGTGCCTGGACGGCTAGGTAGAAAGCACCTTTCTTGAAGGGTAACATGGAGCCATTGTGGTTTCTTGTTCCCTCTGGGAAAATCCAGAGTTTTATCTGTTTGAAAGTTGCAACAACAAAAAAACAAGACAAATGTAAATTACAATTTACAGTGGCAAGTGTACAAACTTATGGTGCCATAAAAAATAGTCTTGACATACATGTAGACCAGACATGTGCAAAATATGGATTATTCTGAAACTTTTGCAAGTCCATGTGATAATCCCCCTTACCATAGATGAAATGTTGCCTCTCTATCTCTCTTTTACAGATATTTTCATGGTCATTGCTCTGCAGAACTCTTTTTGTAGTTCCACCACTCAGAACTTTTAACCATTCCACTAGGTTCTCCACTAGCTCACACAACTTCACCATCCAAATTCCTTGTTCGAAACCTTTTTACAGTGACAGTTTCTTTCCCCGTACAGCCAAGCTTTGGAATTCCCTCCCTGACAAGTGTTTCCCACCAACCTACAATCTACAGGCTTTCAAATCAAACGTTCACTGCCATCTCTTGACATAGCCATGTTTCTCTCATATTTCTAGTTCAATGCCGAGAAGTGGTCGTATAGGCCTAGCATTGAACCACTCCGTTAAAAAAAGAAAAAATCAATAATATATTATGGGTTGTCATATTGGCAGGAACATGTTGAATGTTACAACAGCCCAGGTATGACACAAAAGGTATTATTACTCTTCTTACTACACCTACATTTTTTGTGTGTAAAATTTCGGCTGTTTGGTCCATGGTGTCTCGTGCCTTCTCTGGGTTGAGTCTGTCGATAAAAATGGTTCCACAGAGCCACGAGGAGATGCCGAATGGCCCCGCCCACAGGAGTTCTCGTTTCGCCAGAAAAGCGCAGCGGTCTGGTAGCAGCTCCATCATGCCTGTAGTCACATGGAAGAGAAAGGAGTAACAAGACACTCATCCCCTGAGTGTATAGTGAACGAGCCCCGGGTCACAGAAAGTTTGGTGACCGGAAACAAATTTTTTTCCTAGGCCTATGTGCAAAAGACAAGATGGGCAAATTAAGTATATACACAGCTGGTGTTTTGAGTTGTGGCCACAGCAATTTAATTTGTTGTTTCTGGGATTTTTTCAGAAAAAATATGAAGCGACAGGGTGAAAAAAATTAAAAAAAAAACAGGTCTAGGCATCCTCTTATAGCCCCAAATGCTACGATAGGAGCCATGAAGTCAACACAAAAGGGTTAATATTTGAACAATGAATTTTGAACTTTGAATCAAATCACTGCATTGATACATGGAAAAACTGTGACAACTAGGAAGAAAAGGACTTTCCTCAACTGTTGGGGACAAAATATAAGCATTTTTGAGTTGATTCAGAAACAGAATTTTTTTTCTTTTTTGCAAATCAGAAAAAAATGAAGAGGCGAATCTGAGAACCAACAAATTAAATTGGTGTGGCCTAAGCAGTTTAAATTCCTTACCTATGAAGTCGAGGGAACTCTGATGGTTGGACACCAGTATGTAGGGTTGGTCAGACACCAGTCTCTCCTTGTGTTTTATATCAATCTTTATGGCAAATATCTTCATGATGTTCTTAACCACCCACGACACTATCCTGAAAGACACCAAAACATTTGAATGTTAGAACAGGGCTCGAAATACATGTACTGGGTGCATGTGCACCTGAGTGCACCCAAAATTAGAGCTGTGCACCTAATTTTTTTCCGTGGGTGCACCAGTGCACCCAAATATTTTTGTAGGTTTGTTAAGTAAAGATGTTTTAAAATGTATATTATTATTCTTGAAAATTTAAGTGTCAGAAAAAAAAAAGAAAATCTTTGTTGTAGTACTTTACTTCATAAATGGAACATAATTAGTTATTGCTGACATTCTAGTTACCTTCGCCAAGAATGTTATGTTTTCAGTAGCGTTTGTCTGTGTGTGTGTGTGTGTGTGTGTGTGTGTGTGTTTGTGTGTGGTTTAGCAAGATAACTCGAGAAGCAGTGGATGGATTGGAATGAAACTTGGTAGGTGGGTAGGTCTTCATGAGACTTAGAAATGATTAGATTTTGGGCCCCCTGGCGGCTTTTCTAGGTACTGCAGCTGAACTTTCGGTTTTGATATCTCATGTTCTGGACATGCTAGGGTCACGAATTTTGGTTGGAAGATAGCTCTAAGGGTAGGGAAAAAGTGACAAGAGTTTGGGTCCCCTAGTGCCTTGTTCTGGAACTGCAGAAGCATTTGTTGAAAAAAATTTGAAGGACGATAACTCAAGAACCGGTTGACGTATTGTCGTGATTTTTGGTATGTAGGTAGTTGAAGTGATGCTTGACATAATCAGATGGCAATTATGCAAATCAGGAGCTAATTTGCATAATTAATGAGGAGATTCTATAAATCTGCTTTGTTCGATAATAGAACTATGACACACTTGTGACATCTACTTGAGAATGAGAAAAACATCTGAGGATATAGATTATGTAAATGAGGACCTAATTTGCATAATTAATGGAAAATATTTATAATTCCATAGTTGTAATTTCATACTTGCCACATTTGGAAGTTAAGTGAAGGTGAACATCAATAAACATAATTTATTTAAATCATGACCTCATTTGCATAATTTATGAGGAAGTGCTATAATAGCCTTTTTGTTATGATAAGGCTTTCATTGGATGGAGAATATGATCAACTGATATAATCAATGCAAATGAGGCTCTTATTTACAAAATCAATGATTAAAATTGTATAATTCGTCAACCGCAAGGGTTAACATCATTTGGCGAAGGTATGAGGTCGTGGAACTCTTGTTATTTTATTTTATATGGTGCACCCAATAAAATTTTGGGCCCAATTTTTAGTTTGGGTGCTTCTATTCCCAAAAATGAATGTTGAGCCCTGTTAGAAGAATATATACAGTTACAGATCTCAACTTCCTATCTATACATGTGCAAATTGCAATGGAAAGTCATGCACAACATGATTTAAAAACTAGCTTGATTTAAATGCATGCAAAAGTCTTTGTGCAATTTTCGTTTAAATGACATTTATTTCTTGTGTAAAACGTTTAGGCCACACCAATTTAATTTCTTGGTTAACGGATTCGCCGCTTCATTTTTTTCTGATTTGCAAATAAAAATAAAAATTTAGAATCAACTGCAAAATGCTCATATTTTGCCCTTAGCAGTTGAAAACAGTTCTTTTCGTCATAGTTGTTACAGTTATTCCATCTCTCAATGCAATGGTATCATTTAAAGTTCAAAATTCACTGTTTAAATTTTGAACCAGCCTGGTGTGTTGACTTCATGGCTCCTATCGTACCATTTTGGGCCATAATAGGATGCCTAGGCCTGTTTTTATTTTTTTTTTTTCGCCCGCCCGCTCCATTATTTTTCTAGAAAAATCCGTTAACCAAAAAATTAAATTGGTGTGGCCTTACTAGTAGATGTTTGTGAAATCGACTATGATCAGTTTAATGATGTTTCTTTCCATATATTGTAGCTGTATATGCCAATTATTTTTGTGCATGAAAAATTTTTCTCTTATGAGAGTGTCCAAATTCCGTCAAAAGACAGAAGGATATATGTATATATGCTGGCTAGTAGAACACAAAGGTGGAATTATCTCCATATTCATCCCTAAAACTGTAGCACAGTTAGCCTGTCCTTGAGACAGAAATGAAATTTTTCAAGTGACCACATGGCCATCTAAAATATACCGTGGTACTTCAATTTTGCTATGACTACAAGTCACATACAATGTATTTGAGACCTCTGCAAAATATGACTTTTCAGTCACAGTTCTGGCGTCATAATCAAAAAAACAATTTTGTACACCATATTTACACCAAGGATTGAGGTGTTCAAGAATTCATTCTTTCCTAGAACTATCGCAGAGTGGAACTCGCTGTCACCATGTACAGTAGGGGCATTGTCATTAGATAGCTTTAAACAATGTCTAGAGTTAGATGTTCAAGGGTTAGGTGTAACAAGTCGATCGGTGTAATGTAGCCAGCTGCCGCCGCACCGTGTGCCTGCAAAGCTGGTGTGTTACGCCGAAGGGCGATTATACCGGCTATACAGATACATGTTGTCTGACTGACATATGCTTATGTACTACTAGAGCTACATCCAAAATCAAATTTCAAACAGAAGTTAAAATTTCAAATTCAATTTTTTTCATAAATTTGTAATAGTTAATAAGTAGTGTGGCTACCGTAGTTACTACTATGAGGAAAAATGTGAATTATTTGGCACAGAAATGCTTTGTAAATGTAGTTTAATATGTCTACTGTTTGATATCATTAACTGCCAAAAATTAATTATTGATAAGCAACTGTTTTCGTCCTAGCCAGTGCGGTCTTGTGACATGCTATTTACAAACCAAAGTGACCTTTATCCTCAATCATCTACACTGTACACCACACTAGTGTTAAATATAAATACAATTACAAAGGGTACATGCGTATGTAGGGCTCAAAATTCTGGATGCATATCTGTATCTGTATAGCCGCCCGGTATTAATAAATATTACTATAGCCTTTTGGTGTAATACCAGCTTCTGTATCTGTATAGCCGGTATAACTGCCCTTTGGTGTAACACACCAGCTTCTGTATCTGTATAGCCGGTATAACTGCCCTTCGGTGTAACACACCAGCTTCTGTATCTGTATAGCTGGTATAACTGCCCTTCGGTGTAATTATAATGTACCAGCTTCTATATCTGTATAGCCAGTATAACAGCCTTTCGGTGTAATGTACCAGCTTCTGAACTAGTATCTGTATAGCTGGTATAACCGCCCTTCGGTGTACGTGTAATAATAAGATACCAGCTTCTGTATCAGTATAGCCGGTATAACCACCCTTCAGCACAACACACCAGCTTCTGTATCTGTATATATAGCCAGTATAACCGCCCTTCGGCATAACACAGCAGCTTCTGTATCTGCATAGCCGGTATAACCGCCCTTCGGCATAACACAGCAGCTTCTGTATCTGTATAGCCGGTATAACCGTTCCATACCTCCTAAATTTTGCAGAGCAGTGCAGGTAAAATTTGTCTGGTGCAGGTAATGTTCAATCAATGTTACCTGCACCAGTTCAAAAATGATTTTGAGCCCTGCTGGTCTATGTACTAGTATTTACTTAGCCTCCTGAGGACTCACAGTTTACACTGTGTAAAGGTTATATGAACAAAATACAACTTTACAATGTAGGCATTTGTTTATTCATAATCACATATTGCTTGCTTGAGCTCAAAGTCCAATGTTAACCTCCACACGGTCAATCAAAGTAAAGGCTAACATTTAAGGATGGAATATTGTCATAAAAAATAAATGTTCAGAATAAATTGTATAAATGTAGATGACAACATGGTATGACCTATTAGTACATGTACTAGTAACGTTACATGTAGTTTTTATGGACATTTAATTGTAATAATTTGTCCCTTGCTAAAAAAAATTAATATTCATAAAGACATACATTTATAGTGTTAGGTCATAACATATTGTACTATAATTTTTTTCATACCTTTTTAAATACATTTTGTTTGACCTCATGACCTCAATGAAAATCAGCCTACAGGCCGATTTGATATTCTCATGAATAAGGTATGGTTCAAACAAACAAACAAACAAACAAACAAACAAACAAACCTCTGTCCATAAGACTATTTTGTATGCTCGGACGTTAAACTAACATTAGATACGTAACCTTCAGTGCTATGACCTATGACCTGGTCACCAAATGCTTCCATTGCATTGCAAATTAGTACTTGGCATTTGTTACTAATATAATAAAAGTCAATATTTATTATCAAAATTTAAACACAAATGAGTAGAGAAGAAAAATGGCTTATGAAGCATAATTTTAGACAACCCCAAATAGGGTCCCCCTGTAAATTTTTTGGAAATAATGACAATTGTTGCATTATGCAAAAATAATACACATCTAGTAGCTTCTTATAATACATGCATATGATATCAAATACAGTTTCAAGCATAATATTATTCGTGTACTAAATATTAATTAAGATCATCTTAATTAAGGCAAATTATACAGTTTCGAATACAGGGTCATGCAGAGGGCAACTTCAACGTTACAACAAGATCACACGACTAATAATAACATCATAACTAAAGCTATAAATATAAGACAAACACGTATATTTGTTTTTGTTGTTTGTAGTGAATGATTTGAAGTAGACTGACCTGTAGTTGTTTACGTCTCTGGGCCTGAACGCCAAAACCGGCATGAGGAAAACAGCAATGCACATCACAATGGTGTCGTACAGAACGAACTTGGCGAAGTACTTGAAGGTAGCGCTGGTCTCGTACAAAACGGGCAGGATGAGGAGAATGGCGATGATTCCGTAGTGCAAAACTTCCAACTCCGCCACCGCCATCTTGGTTTTTAGTTGCGAACTTTCTGTCATTCACCCCGTTCCGCGATGACCTTTCGCCCCGCCGCGGTCCCATGCTCCAGCGCGTTCACTCCTCCAAGCAGATGTCGTGAAGTTTTGCGACAGCTCTCTCTACTAGACTAGCTACCCTCATTGTCAGAAATACCAGAATTGTAGAAAACTTAACAATTTTCAATGCCACCGCCTGCTTGGAGATAAGAATCAGTGCAACCTTTTTATACCGACAGAGTTTCAAAGTTTTTCTTTAGAGTAAGAAAAGCGCAAAAGCACATAATGTGCAAAACCAGAACGAAAATGCTTGAAGGTTGCACCGTGGAGTTATTGGTTGCACTATGCACTAGTCCCAATATAATCATAAACAATTCCGATCTCTCAAAGTCAAATGTATTATGATATTCCCATTTCTTCCCTAGAGCATGGGGGTTGCTACTTGCTAGAAAAAGTTACTTTGGCACAAAAATAGATAGGGAAAACTGTTGATGAATATTGTAATTAATAAATATAATTAGACAGGTAAAATGCTACTTGAAAGGTTATGTTTGTAAATATTAGTAAATATTAATAATATTTTGTACAATTCTGTGTTCCCTAAAACTACGTGATTCAGCCTTTTTTTTACATAGTACAAAAATGTATTATTAGGCTGCAATGTTGTTTTAGTTTTATGTCAATTTGCAAATAGACCATTTATGACTAGTTTACTAGTAAAATAATAAAAGTCATTCAAAAAGCAATGGCAAAGACACTAAACACGCCTCCCCGTCTCTTTTTGTGGTACAACCCAGCCATGACCTCTGACAATTTTCCCGGGAAAACGAAGGACGCTGATTGGCTAAAAATCAAACGTATCATAAAATGATCACAAGTAAATGCTTCTTCAGAAAAAGTATCCATCCCTTTTCTGCAAAATACAAGAATTTGTATACAAGTTCTATGCTTTTGAAAACCTACTTTGATTTATTTAATTGAACTATGATAAAATTGTTTTTCAAATCATTCTCAATTATAATTTCTACAAATCGTGAGTTAGCGGTTTGATGCGGTTAGCTCCGCCCCCGACACACGTGGGACGACCGATGGTGCACATCCTGATTCATTCATGTCAAAATTCTGACAAATATTTTCTGCATTTTCCGACAAGAAAACCGCCACCATAACTCCTCATCGCAACCTTAGCGAGGAGAGGGTGTCTTCGGGCATGGCTGGCTTCAAGCTGGGCATCGTTCGACTGGGCAGAGCGGCGGGGAAGGTAAGAATCCGTGCCTAAAAATGGAGAACAGAAAACAACGTGGCCGATGCTACCGGCTTTATCCACATCATATGTCGGCATGGCGAGGAGACATATTTTTCCTCAGAATATCCTTCTTTTTCCTTCGAATATATTCCAACATGGCAAATAACATAATTTGAGAAGGAATTTCTTTATTGTGCATGTTCTGTGTAGCAATTAACATTATATGGTAATCGCTTTATCAAGAAAGGAAAGCGAGGGACACAAAAATTCATGTCTGAACACAGTATTTTAAAAATTCAAATTCTATCCAGACGTTGTCGCTATATAAATTATAGGAAGATTTCCCCTGTTATGGGGGATGATATCACGACGTTGTGAGTAATTTTATTATTTTGGGGCTTCTTTAGGGGTTTGTTGGCAGCCGGTTGACAAAAATAGCCAGTGTAGTCGTGTCACGAGGACCAAAAGCGTGCCAAATATTAAATGTGTGTAGATTCTTTGGCAGTGAACTCTGAAATTGCATTATGATTACCTCTTCCGTTAGCGTTCCAAAATAATATCCAATAGTCACAACACCGTATTATGATGATTCATATTTGTCTCTATGGCTTCCTACCAATGTGACTATGCATGTTATGAAATATCTTGTTATTGTTGACATGTTTTTCATATCATGGCTATGTAAACATGTTTTCTTATGAAGTAGATATTGAACTTGATTTGAAGGTACCTACAAAATGTATTACAGACAGAAGACCTCCATTTTATTGTTTATTGTACATATGTTATGATGGTAACATCTTGTTATTGCTGACATGTTATGTACTACCATGTAAACATGTTTTCTTCTTATAAAGAGGTATTGGAGGGAATTACAAAATGTATTACAGATAGAAGGCCTCCAGTTTATTGTTTTCAGTAGTGTTTATAATTTATCAATTAGATTAAAAGACTTGTTTGGCATCAGCAAAAACCATATGGCAATGAATAATTTAAACATATGGTTACTGATATATAACATTATTATTATACATAATTTGTCATCATTCGAAATTATGTGCATCTGTTAGAACATGATGTTTTATTTTATAGAAAATAATGTTTTTGTTTTTGCACATTTACTATAGATTGTAATTGTTATAATGTTCTACAAAATCAGTATGTTTTTTTCTTGTCATTTCAGACGAAGTACTCCCTTCTGGATGAAAGAGACATTCCGCTAGTTGAGAATTACGCTTTTGAGGTAAGGCAGATAATAAGACTCCAAGCATCCCCACTGTCACAATATTGTAACGGGAGGGGTCCTAATTCCGACCTATGTTCCATGCAAACACACATACCTTTGGTAATAGTTTATCTGACCAAAAACCAGCACAACATTAGCTATAATACTGACAGATAAAGATCACAACGATTAAAGCTACACAGCTGTATATTTCACTTCAGTTTAGAGCCTTGCACCCAAGCGTAATGGTTCGAGAAACTTATGGACTGGTTTTTGGTCATTTTGCCGGTGGAACGTTCTATCGCAATAGGGGTGCCCTAATTCCAACCTAGTATCAAACACAGGTCCATCTGAGAAGAGAGTTTAGAAATTATAAAACACAAATTATGACTAAACCAATCTACAACTGTTTTTCTGTCCCAAACAAGTCCTCTTTTTACTCGTCTGTTGCCAGAGCGTACAAACTGGAACAAACTTTGTAAGATTACCAATGTCAACACAAATACTTCGTCCATTCTTGTGGTTATTTTTAGGCACATGCTCCCATGCATAATGCCACAACAAGAATTTTTCAAACTAGTCCGGAATTAGGGGTAGGTCAGAATTAGGGCACCCCCCCCCCCATTACCTGTTCTCAAATAGCCAATAACTTCAAGGAAATGTCTTTGGCTGTAAGACATTAAAACAAGTATCAATCAGATTTTTCCTGTTTATTCATGACCTGTACTTGAAAGAGCATAATTGTACAATAATCATCTGTCATTCAATCAGTAATATTGACAACTATGAGTATGACAATGCAAGTGAAAATTAAAGTCTGTAAAATGTCTTAATAGCAGTAAACAATGATTGATATATCCGTAAATAATTTCATCAGGTTGGTAAATGAATGAATAGCAAAGTTCTTTGATCACAACCATTTATTTCTTACGAGCCGACGTTTCGATGACCGTCTGTCATCTTCATCAGGGCAATTCTGACTGGTTTACTGTGCACTGACCCTAGATGTTACTTGGTGCATAGTGCACTGTTAACCAACTTACAGTGCACTGTGAACCATGTAACACCTTTAGTGCACTAAGCACCAAGTAACATCTAGCGTCAGTGCACAGTGAACAGAATTGCCTTGATGAAGATGACAGACGGTCATTGAAACGTCGGCTCATAAAGAAATAAATGGTTGTGATCAAAGAACTTTGCTGTGCAATGATTGATATATGTTACAACAAAATGTATGAGTTAGAATTATGTTTTGTATTACGAATCAGATGTCTGGTCATTTGAATACATGTTGTAGTTTGTTTTTGTTTTGCCATTTTGATGTCTTAATTTTTTTTTCCAGGCACAAGTTGAGGTGGACAAGGACGGGAATGGAGCCAAGGTGTTTGCCTTCTGTTGGGAGATAGAAAAGGGCAGAGCGTTAGGGAACTTTGTACACAATATTCTATGGTAAGTTAGTCTGATTTAGTGCTGCATGCCTAAACCCACATTTAGGTTCAGGTCCGGATTCAAGTCCAGAGGTTTAGGTTCAGTTCCGAACTCGTAAGTCCGGACCTAAACCCATGGCATATACAAAATTGCATGTTGGCAACCTTGCAATGTTGTTTGGGCAAAACTATGGCCACTAAGATTTTGCAATCTATGGAAGGTTTTAGGTGGTTTCGAAAAAAAAGGGGTGGTTTTGACATGGGTTTTTTTAGTAAGTCCGGAATTGTTTCTTGACTTTTAGTTTGTTTTTTTTTTTTACTTGAACCTAAACATCCTTACAAGTCCGGAAACCGGTACACAGCAGTAGTCTGATACATCCATTGCATGACCAGGGCTTGAATTATATCATTTGATAAAGGTGCACATGTGATGCACAGTTTTGTATATGTTAAGCACATGTTTTGAGGCTTTCTTACTTCAAAGAGTGGTTACAACAATTTATTTGCTGCCAAAAAAAGACTTTGTTTAATCCTGAAAGAGATATTTTTAGTCTGGCCAAAGGCTAAATGTGGATAAGTAGGTTGACTTAAAAGAGCAAGGGTTTACACATCTGAAAAAGCCTTGCTATATTTCATAAATGTTTAATAACTGGAGAGGGGTAGGTAAACTGGAAGAAATATTTGAAATGTAATGGAATCATTAATTTACTGCGAGGTAATTTTTCTGTGTTTTTTTTTTAAACTGGTATAATGGTTATTTAAAGTTGTGTACTGGTAGTAACTCTCTTTATAGGTTCAAAGGTTTACAAGGTTCAAAGAGCAAGTGTTGTCGGTTGTTGTTTTCTGAATTTTTCAGTGGCAGGCAGTTACTACATGTATGTGTTAATATGAGCGTTGTCTTTGGGCCTTGTACATCAGACTTCAACAACATAAAGATATTATAGCTAATGGTACTAAAAAAAAGGAGTTAAGGGAAATTTCTGTGGTTTCTTCTATGATTAAACAAGGGTTTAAAAGTTAATGATTAAAAAGCATTTGATAAAAAGGTCCATGAGGCACACAATATATATATGTAATGTACGGTGTTTCTTTTTTTTTTCAGGGAAAGACATTGCGGAGGAATTGCTCCAGGATACAAGGTGGTACACAAAAATGGGGTGACCGTAGACAACAGATTAGAAAACCTCACGCTAGTGGCACAGACTAAACCATTGAAGATACAGGAGGGGACAAAAACAGATAGCAGGTGAGTTGTCATGCTGGAATATTAACATCATTGAAGTTTCAGAAAGTTTAACTAAATCTGTACATACTTTTTGACTTGATATTTTATCTTTCTTTTTTAAAAAGTTCCATACGAAACTACATGAACCCCAATTTTTTTTCATAACAGGGAGAACAACTTGTACTGGATAGCCATTCAACAGTTACCACCAGACCCTATAGATGAGGTGAGTTTTCTGTACAAAGTACCTGAATTAAAACTAGCTGTCCAAAAATACATTTATGCTGAGAGAAATTCTGCCAAAGTGGTATAGTGTACAATACATTAGGCCACAGCAAGTAATTTTTATGGATGACATCTGTAATTGCACGCATTGATTTTCGCCAGATTTTGGAAAAAAAAAACAAAGATGTCTGTTGCCATGCCGGAACATGGATGGCAGATAACTATGAAGAGAGGAGACAAGAAAAGGCTCTGATTCAATGTTTTATTTCTTACTTTGATGCAGTGATATGTGATGCTGGTTGTGTATATGTGATGTTCCCACTGAATCAAAACCATTTGTACAATGATTGAGTCAAAATTTGAGAATGTAGGAACCTTGTTTTTTCCGCCTGCCTTGTTTTTTTTCACCCGCTCGCATTACATAAGTCTGTGGAGGATGTCATCCATAAAATTTACTTGCTGTGGCTTTACATAAAACGTGAGAAATGTATGACTAACACCGTGTCTTCTTTCCACCTCTAGCACTTTCCAGAAATGTCGCAGTCTAAAGTGTACAATGCAAATGGAGAAGAGATGGAAGAGGAGGAAGAAGGGACCATATATTACGAATGTCATTATCCGCCATGCACGCTCATAGAGGAAGAGGTGAGTAGTAGAGGAGGAGCTGTTAAAACATGCACATTGTGGTGGTGCTATCACACATTTAGAACCTTCTCCAAACCAACAACCACCAAAGGTGGCAAAAGTTTGAGCAGTCTGAGCAGATTGAGCCTACCTTTCCGATATGTATCAAATCGAATTTGAGTCAAATTGATTTTGGTTTGTTTGTCCGTCTGTTTGTTTGTTTGTGTTTCCACATATTTGTGAGCATAGTTTGAGAAAGCCTGAATGGATTGTGATGATATCTGGTATGAGGGTAGGTCTTGGGAAGATGAAAGCCAAGGTACATGTAAATGTGGGTCTCCTGGTGGTTGTCCTTGGTGCTGCAACAGAACTTTCTTTTTTTGTAATATCTTTTGTCCTGGACATGAAGGGGGTTTGATTTTTTTTGTGACAGATAGCTTTTCATGTGAGGGGAAAAAGGAGTGTAGGTTTAATTTGTTCCCCCCTAGCAGCTTGTTACCGTATTGTAATCTGTCTGTATCTGTATAGCCGGTATAACCGCCTTTCGGCATAACACACCAGCTTCGCAGGCAGCTGGCTATATTACACCGATCGACTTGTTACACCTAACCCTTGAACATCTAACTCTAGACATTGTTTAAAGCTATCTAATGACAATGCCCCTACTGTACTTGGTGACAGCTAGTTCCACTCTGCAATACTTCTAGGAAAGAATGAATTCTTGAACACCTCAATCCTTGGTTGATAACTCTGGTACTTGAAGGCATGGCTATTTCTTGTTCTCTTCTAGGCTGGTATGTAGGTACTTAGTAGTTGGGACGTCCACCAGTTTATTAGTCATTTTGTACATCATGCACAGTCAGTACGTAATCGAATTGTACCGCCCCGTTTCAGATGCACCAGTTTAGCATCTGTGGTCGTTGTCAGCAAGCACGGTACTGTGGAACACGATGCCAGCAGAAGGACTGGCCGGCGCACAAGAAACGCTGTCGAGAAAGGAGGAAAAACGCGGTAGAGGACTCCTCTGTGGATCGCTAGTAGTATAGAGAGACAGGTACAACACAAGTTAGTGAGGGGGTGGTCATGTAGCTGAGAGCTTACATGTGTAAAGTAAACAATTACTATAATGATATGACATATTTTACAGAGTTTTGTTGCATGAAAGTAGTCCCAAATTTGTTGGTCAATGTACAGAGATTCCATGACATTGTTTTATTTTTTGGCCTCTCTGCATGCCCACCCCCTCTCCTGTCAGTTTATATTGGTAGGTGCATCAGTACTTACTAAAGTATGATGAGGAGCTTCTATATTTGGTACTTACTAGAAAGAAGAGTAACTTTGTAGTGGCTTGACATTTCTGGAAAAGCATATCCAACTGTAACTGTTTTTGTACAAAGTGCAAACTGTATATGATTGTCCGCTTCTCATAAAAGTAAGTAGAATACTATTTTCTCCTTAATATGGTGCATGCGTATTCATATCATATCATATCATACATGTATGATACTAAGAAGTTATTCTATGAAACGTTTCCCTGTCGTAGTAGAAAGGGAAAATTTTGTACTTGTTGGTACGTGTAAGAATTTTGTACCGTTTGGTTTTGTCGGGAGGGAAACTTAATGTTCTGAAGAAACATTTAGTCATGAGAATAGAACATTCCTTTCAAAAAAAGGCAGACCTAAACCAGGGGTGCCAGAGTATACAGTGCAATTTTACGGAATACAGTGCAATTTTATGGAATGCAGTGCAATCGTACATGTATTAGTATACGGTGCAATTTCACTAGTAAACAGTGCAATGTTACTAGTAAAATTGCACTGTATACTAATGCGATTGTACTGTATTCCGTAAAATTGCACTGTATTCCGTAAAATTGCACTGAATTCCGTAAAATTGCACTATACAAAACATGTATACTGTGGCACCCCTGTAAACTTCTCATGAAGAAGTACAACATACATTGTGATGTGGTCAAATATAGAACAATGCACAAAGTGCTATAAAGATTGACATACATGTACATGATTCAGAGTAAGTATTCTCCAGTATTCTTAGTAGTAGAAGCTGCCAGTTGTGATAAAAAGTTGTGTTATTTATCAAAGTTTATGCTTAGCTATGTTAGTTGAATACTTGAACATCTCAGTAATTATAAATAGTTGAAGATAAAACTCACTGTTAGAGCACAGTTGTTGTGATAGAAAACCTAATATAATAATATTAGGGATGCACTTACTATCAGAGGTACAAACTTAATGTGTATGTTTCTCACACTTAACACATGTTTTAAGGAATTTAATTTCTTCTCATCACATATCCTGTCTTGTCATATGCATTTTTCTTTTGTAAGATTCACGAAAACAAAATTGAAATTCTCTCCCGAGATTGGACGTATCTGAATATGTACATTCGCAACTTCCATGAAAGACCATTTACAAGGTTCGATGATAAGGCCACACCAATTTAATTTGTTGGTTCTTGGATTCGCATCTTTATTTTTTTCTGATTTGCAAAAATAAAAAAAAAGATTCTGGTCCTGAATCAACTAAAAAAAACGCTCATATTTTGCCCCCAAACAGTTGAGGAAAGTCCTTTTCTTCCTAGTTGTTACAGTTTTTCCATCTATCAATGCAGTGGTTTGATTAGAAGTTCAAAATTCATTGTTTAAACCCAGCCTTTTGTGTTGACTTCATGGCTTCTGTCATAGCATTTAGGGCTATAATAGGATGCCTAGACCTGTTTTTGTTTTTTTTGGCCCTGTCGCTTCATACTTTCTCAGAAAAAAATCTGAGAACCGACAAATTAAATTGGTGTGGCCTAATGAAAAAATGTGCAGTTGTTTGTACATACAAAGTTATTACTTAGAAACAGTGTTTTGTACCTTATACTGTTAAAAGAATCGTATTGCATTCAACAACTTCAAGTCATACAATAGTTAAGTAGGGGGAAAATTGTTGGATCTGTTTAAAAGCGACAGAAGGCAGCTGAGGTTAAGGGATCGTCCCAAACTGTCAGGTTGTTTCTTTATAAAAAATTAGTTTTTTCAGAGGTACATTGTAAAGCTAAGGGATCATATCAAGAGGTCAGATTGTTTCCTTACAAACATTTTTTAACATTCATTCATTCCCTTAACACATACATGTTGTACATTGTACAACTGTACATTTTCTTTTCCCTTATGAAAACAAACTGTTTTATTTAAATGTAAAAAGTAAGTAGGGCCTCCATTCCGCAAAGCCAAACATTAGCACACAACATACCATCTTGTAAAGATTACCCCTAGAATAGAGTGATTTTTGTGGAAGAGAAAAATGAAACGCCACTGTATTACCTAGTGATGGTTTTCAGATATTATTTGTGTTACAGATGTCTATTTATACTGTATGTGGAAACATATATTATGAAAATACCAATAGAATTTGAAGTTCAGCCAAACTATTTGTTGTCTGTTTATTATTTACCAGGAAGATATAGTGTTTTAGGTTGGTTGGTTTGTCCATTGTTCGGCCTAGGCCCAAGAGATCCCGGGTTCGAATCCTGCCCAGTGTCACTGATCTTGCTCCCTTGGGAAAGGCACTTGACATGACTTTCCTCATTTCACTCAGGTGTAAATGAGTACCTAGCTTCGGCTAGGGACGTCCCTCGAATAGGACGTTAAATAGAGGTCTTGTGTTTCGGAGAGCCACTCCCCACGCACATCAAAGAACCCACCGCACTTATCGAAAAGAGTAGGGGACCTTCCCGGTGTGAGTGGTTCAAACCTTACAGTCCCGTCTCAGGTTTGACATCTTGAAGAGGAGATAGTCACCTGTTATGTTAATCCTTCCACAAAAGTGGTAAATCTTCATAAAATAAAATTTTTACAAAATATATGCTTTCTTAATTGCGGACACAATAGGTTGACAGTACATGGGTGGGTGAAGATTTACAGGCAGAATGACAGGTCAAAAGGTCAGGCAGGAATTGAGATGAGTTGAAAGTAGGTTGAGAGCACATGGGTGAAAGGAAGATTGACAGGAGGTAAAAAGGTCAGACACAGGAAATGAGGTGAATTTGAAGGTCACGAAAAACCCCTAGATACATGTACATTGTACTTCCTAGAAGTCTGAAATCTCCAATATCTTGTTTTTAAGAAGTGCTTGAAAAATCACTTAAACTAAAGGAATTTGTAGTGATGTACATGTACTATGTGGAAAGTTGGCAGGTGGTGTGAACTATTATTTTCTTGGAATATCAAAATTCTATTTCTAGACAGCAAAATTAATGGAAATTTTTACAATAATTGACTAGATGTGGGACCATAAAAGTATAGTGAACACAAAATGATTCCAACCAACAAAAGACATTTGTTTAACATCTATTTATTTGTATCTTGAGAGTACAACATTCAGTCATATTTCTTCTTAAGACCAATTTGAATAATATACAAGCATGAATTTTACAACTTTAAGTTTAACGTCTGTTTCATGGTATCATATCAATGTAATATTTGCATAACATGTATCAATGTGAAGTTTTCACTTCTAGCTTGTGGTTAGGGTTGTTTATTCAGAATCCAAAGGTTAAGGGTTTGAATCCCTGGCAGACCCCACATTAAAGAACCCACCACATTTATCAAAAATAGCAGGGGTGAGGGTTCAAATCTTACAGTCTGGTCTCAGGGTTGACATCTTGAAAAGTCTGTTTTGTCATTCCTTCCACAAATGTTGTAATATAAATCTCAATAAATGAAAATAAAACCAACAAAAAATTACATGTATTGTAACATTATGTTCCAAAATGTTCCCTAGCATTTTAAGTAGTTCACACTTGTATTTTACAACTTTACTTACTACGATTGTACAAAAATACATTTGTAGTTGTCATAGAGTGGATATTTAGTTTTGTTAATTGCAAACTTCCTGGCAAACATCAAGAAAATTTTATCAGAAAAAAATACAAATATAGTGTAACATATATAATTATGTAACTGTATATATAGTAAACATGAATAGTAACCATTAAGTTTAACATTTTCAATCAAAATTAAACAGAATATCATCAAGCCAAAAGCCTCCACAGAAAAATCCACTCATTCAAATAGTATGTTTACATATTTTTGTACAATCTCTCATATGTACATATTTTTCATTCTATTCTCCTAATATGAAAAATTAATTTAAAATATGAAAAAAGTTTCAGATAAATAATTTGCCTTTGAAGAATCATTATAGAACAAACATTTTAAAATCTTTTTTAAACACTCACATCATATTATGTACAAAATAGACATCAGAAATGCTAGCACTTCTCAAAATATTCAAAAGGTAAAGGTAGACAAATTTGTACACACTCAAGCATAATTAATATTACAAATCAATGAATTGTATTAAATCAATCAAAAGCAATTAGAAATTTCTCTATGCAATCACCCGTAATTGTTCCGAACCTGAAATACAATTAGTTTCTTTTTCTTTTAATTATTTTTTTACATTTTTCAATCAGTTGCTATTTCACACAGAAATCAAAGACTACACAATATGGGACAGAGAAGGAAATTGGGTAGTTGTCGCATGTACAGCACAGGCAAACAAGACATTAGGCCACACCAGTTTAATTTGTTATTTCTCGGATTCGCCTCTTCATTTTTTTTCTGATTTGCAAGAAAAAAAAACAGATTCTGGTTCTGGTTTCTTCCTAGTATCTGTCAATTCAGCAGTTAAATTAAGAATTCAAAATATATTGTTTAAATCTTAACCCGAATATCCGAAAAAAGTATCAAGTACCCAGCCTTTTGTGTTGACATCATGGCTGGACCTATCGTACCAAAAAATGCTCTTATTTTGCCCAAAACAGTTGAAGAAAGTTCCTATCGTACCATTTGGGGCTAAACATAGAATGCCTAGACCTGTTTTTATTTTTTTTTGCCCTGTCACTTCATATTTTTTCTGAAAAAATCTGAGAGCCAACAAAATAAATTGGTGTGGCCTAAGCTTGAATGCCAGACTGTTTCCAGGGCCAACACAGGCCAGCTTCTTGGCTCCAGGGCCAACATGCCCCCAAGGAAATATTCTACCTCAGCTAACCCTCAGTTAGGCCCTGAGTTAGAGGCCCTGGCAAAAGTCTGGCATCCATTTGCAAGCTCAGGACTAAAAAAAATACTTTTTTCTGCACACTTTGATAAATTGTGATATCAGGGACAATGGCCACACGACTTTAGATATATATATATATAAAATTCTTTAAAATATTTTCAAAAAATCAAAAATTGACCTACTACTAGTATGTGTACATGTATGACATCAATTTGTGCCATCAAAGCTAAAATAAAGTATTTTCCTGAAAGATAGAATTGCCTATAAACATATACATGTACATGTATGTACACATAGAATCGCCTGGACATTCAGTCTAATTTGACAAAGGTAAAAATCTTGGTAAAAATCAGACTTTTTTACACAAGGTGTTAAACTTAAAGAAGCCACCTGCACCTGGGCATTACAACCATCCCTCAACAAAGATGGTAGTCAAGTTATGTCAGGTAATGAGATTAAGATTCTGTCATGTGATTGGTCAGTTTCAAACTTATGGTAATAGTGGTACCACATTTCAAACCTTGCTATGATGATGAGATAGTGCCATGTGATTGGCCTATTTCAAACTGTCTTATGGCCAGAGTATTTCAAATCACTTTATGGTAATGAGGAGATGATGCCACATGATTGGTCTGTTTCAAACCATCTTATTTGGTATATAAAATGTATTGGCTCATCAGATTGGAGCCTTCAAACCACATTATAATAATGTACAGAGAATCCCATAAGATTGGCCGGTTCAAACCATATTATGGTAAATGTGGTGCCACATGATTGGAGCATTTTAAACCACATTATGATAATGAGGGGATAATCCCATTTGATTGGCCTATTTCAAACCATCATATGGTAATTGTGGTGCCACATGATTGGAGCATTTCAATCCACATTATGATAATGAGGGGATGATGCCATGCGATTGGCCTGTTTCAGACTGTTTCAAAGTCGTCATGAACAGTTTTGGCAATCACAAACAAGGCCAAATGATAGCCTCCGTAGTAGGCTTATAGAACTTGGGGTTTGGTGGTCTCGGCTGTTTTCTGATTAGCCCAGTTCTAACGGGGGTTAAATTCAACCAGGCCGGCTATGTTGTCTATATGCAATCAGAAAATAGCACATGAAAGCTCCCAAAGACCACGAAGACCCCCAAAACCCCCAGTTTTTAACATGCTATGGAGGATAGCCAAATGAATTAGGGTTGTTCTTTAGTCGGTTTGATCATCATGGTGAGGTCTTTCATTCGCATGAATGGGATTTGAAGGGAAGGATCGCCAGTCTGACTGGACTCCCACCATCCAAAGGTGCTCTCATCGTTCCTGTCCACGGTGACGAACTGTCCGCCGTCGTTTTCCCGCAGCACGTCGCCATGTTCGCCCTCCAGAAACTCCCCGAGCTCCAGCCGGTAGCGGTCTGCCTCACTCCCCACCTTGAACGTGGAATAACTGGAAGAGTAGAAGACAGGTAGGAAGTTAAAGACCAAATGACACCAAAACAAGTCTGTAAGGCCACACCAATTCAATTTCTTGGTTAACGAATTATGGATAGTGGAGCGGGCGGGCAAAAAAAATAAAAATAAAAACAGGCCTAGGCATCCTATTATGGCCCAAAATGGTACGATAAGAGCCATAACGTCAACACACCAGGCTGGTTCAAAATTCAAACAATGAATTTTGAACTTTTAATGATACCACTGCATTGAATCATGGAATAACTGTACCGACTAGGATGGAAAGGACTGTTTTTAACTGTTCAGGGCAAAATATGAGCATTTTGCAGTTGATTCTGAATGTTTATTTTTATTTGCAAATCAGAAAAAAATGAAGCGGGCGAATCCGTTAACCAAGAAATTAAATTGGTGTGGCCTAAAATACATAAGATATACAAAAGTATACATACAATATAGTCACTTGAAGTTGTTTTCAATCATGATGACTGAGAAATTGAGCTTGTAGCCTTCTAAAAGTGAATTTTTGGAGACTCTCTAGCTTCCCAATCGCCCACCTCAGGCATATATCTCTATTTGCATCTCTGTGTATTATTTTAAAATTTGCATTTCTGTGCTTTTTCCTAAGCTGACATCACGGGGTAACATCAGGTCAGGAAAAAATATGGAAATGCAAATTAAAATAAAATGTAGAAATGCAAATCATCTGCCAGGACTGGCTTGTGCTGACTTTTCCAAGGTAGGGCATTAGAATTTCGAATGTAAGAGAACAATGCAATGCATTATTCATTGTAAATGTGTTTGTTGGCCATGCAGGTAATAATACATGTAGTTATCATTATAGTCAACTTCAATTAGATATGGTCATACGTATATTTTGGTGTCATGAGCACTTTAAGATGTATTTCTGTACAGCCGGTATAACTGCCTTTCGGCGTAACACATCAGCTTCGTAGGCACGCGGCGCGGCGGCAGCTGGCTATATTACACCGATCGACTTGTTACACCTAACCCTTGAACTTTTAACTATAGACATTGTTTAAAGCTATCTAATGCAATGGACAATGCCCCTACTGTACTTGGTGACAGCGAGTTCCACTCTGCGATAGTTCTAGTAAAGAATGAATTCTTGAACACCTCAATCCTTGGTTGATAACTCTGGTACTTGAAGGCATGGCTATTTCTTGTTCTCTTCTGGGCTGGTATTAGGTACTTAGTAGTTGGGGCGTCCACCAGTAGTACAGTACATTTACAGTTTGTGAAAATCAATGTGCGTGCGGATGACATCCATAAAATTAAGTCGGTGTGGTCTAAGTACATAACGTTATAGGTCAACTCACTGAGCAGCCACAGTCGGGTAGACTCCGTCCATGTTCCCGATGACCTTGAGCTCGTAGGTCGCCTGACGGGTGATGTTGTGGATGAGATCGTTCCCAAGCCAGAAGGACTCCCAACCGCCCTGCTTAAACCCCTTCTTGAAGTCATCCCACGAACGTTGGTAGAATTCCAAGTTGGGACTCTGGTAAACATAAACACAAGTTTTGTTTATTTATTTATTTTTATTTGCACATACATATAAAACAAAAACAGTACAGAAGTAAATATAGTAATCGAACGAAACAGAATGTAAAACAGAATCAATGTGCTGGAGGAGGAAAAATGCCTCAGGGCTTATTCTTAATTGTCCTCCATTTCAATTAAAAGCATAATGATAATAATAACAATACCAATGATTAGGGTAAATAAACAATAGATCTATATGAAAAATAGTAAGTAAACTCATTTCCCACGACAAAATCAGTTCTAGCCAGCGAATGTCTTTTGTCATTTTGTAAGGGACAAAAATTCTGCCCAATCTACTGTAAATCACTCTATATTCGCAGTAGCAAAATTTCAGAGTTTTAGAGCAACAGATTAATGAGTAAAGAGACTCTTTTTACACAACCAAGATTTTATTCAGTTGAAGTTTCGGTGACCATCTGTCACCTTCCTCAGGGCAATTCTGACTGGTTCACATTGCACTGCAGCACAGGTCGCTGCTGTAGATGCATTCCTAAACATACAATCTTCACATATCTACACAAATATGCATGATTACAGGGAAATGTATCTACAATGAATTAATATCTACCTTGCGGGCATGGATGACAGTCCATCCACTGTCCTGATCCATCTTACAGTAGACCTCGTGCTTAGTGGGAGAGCCTCTGGGCTGGATATGCTGTGGTCCATCCTCTACAGAACCAGCCATGTACCAGTCAGAACAGTCCTTTGGGTCTGTGGGGGACAAAACATAACAGTTACTTTGCTGTCGTGAAAGTTCATCTCAGAGCTCGAAATTAACTCCCAATGGCCAGTCACCACTAAAATTTAGGCTGGGACTAATAAACTAAAAACTTAAGACACATTTTTTGGAAAATAGAAAAATTATCAACATCAGAATGTCAGCCCTAATTATTAGGCACACGTCCCAGCTTTTGGCTCTGAAAAAGTCACCATGAAATTCCTGTCTACTCTGCAATTTCAGTGCGCCAGGGAGTCAGAAAGTATATATTAGCAAAATAAAGTTGACTTCAAGTTGAAGTCATACAATACTTCCCGAAAAACAGGTTGGGACAGTTCATCCTCACTTTGGGACAGTTGAAATCTATTTTTGGGACAGTGCTGGGACAATAGGAAGAAAAGTTCATTTTGAAGCCTGCATCTGTGTTGACAGTTACACGTTTAAAGTAGCATGCATGTTGGGAGAGCAAAAAACAGCCGGAGTCGACTTGAACTCCCAATCTTTTAGCCAGAGGCAGGGTCACACACCACTTGTCTGAAGAAGGCTTGATTGAATTACCATAGTGAATCTCTGTCATGAAGTATGCTGGTATGGCAGGCACGGGTAGCATTGTAGCATGCAGAGGCACGGGAGAGGCCTTAGCGTCCGGAGTTGCTCTGGTCAGGCGCTTGGACATCTTGCCGCGGAGGATTTTGTCCAAGCTCATGGAGGCGTCCAGTGCTCCATGGACATCAGAGCCGATGACCGTGGTCTCCTCTTTGCCCGCTGGTTTTGCAGCAGATTCGAAATCCTGAACAAGACAACATTAAAGTCAGCAAAGTACATTTGTTGTATCCGGATAATTCATATCTTTTGGTTTCCCTTTTTTAATTCTCATAAATTTTGCTAATTTTGCTCAAAATTCACTGGTCATCTTCCTTCAATGAAAGGAAGAAAAATGATATCCAAGCCACAATAATAACATGCAAGATGACCAGTGAAATAGATAAAAAGACACTGAAAAACACAAAAGCATACCAGGTCACAACCCTGTCAATCAACTCAATATCCAATCTCTGCCCACTTACTTTCAATTCTTGCTGTTTCAAACCATACAAACATACTAAACGAGTGCCACCCAAAACAATACTTCTGTCCCAGAAGTAATTACATAGATAAAACTTCAAAATCCTTACCTTCTGCATCTTAGCCAGGGCTGCCTTCTGCTGTTTTTTTTTTTCAAACCATACAAACATACTAAACCAGTGCCACCCAAAACAATACTTCTGTCCCAGAAGTAATTACATAGATAAACTTCAAAATCCTTACCTTCTGCATCTTAGCCAGGGCTGCCTTCTGCTTTGCCAGTTGAGCTTCCATCACCTTAAAGCGTCCGTCTGTCTTCTGCTGATACTTCTTTTGCTGCAAGAAGATTTTCCAAAACACAACTGTAAACTTTAAGGAAAATTCATTGCAAACAAGAGATCAAAGACTTCAGACTTCTGGGAATATTTTTTTAGTTTTCGTGACCTTCAAGGTCACAGACCAAAGTGTTTTGGGTTTAGATGAATGTGTTAGAGCTGTGGATGGGATTGTACATGTATGTTGTAATTTAGTCAGGTACATGTATTACACCACTATCCATATTGGTATGTGCTGGTTCACCCCTTCCAATTAAATGTGAATGATTTGAAAGGAATAGACATTGTAAAAAACATTTTTTGCTCATTCACTTGTCAGGGCTCGAAATACTGGGTGCATATGCACCTTAGTGCACCCAAAATTGGAGCTGTGCACCCAATTTTTTTCTGTGGGTGCACTGGTGCACCCCAATATATTTGTAGTTATGTATCAAATGTATAATTGTATGCAGGGCATCTGTCGAAGTTTCTTATTGTACTTGTTTAAGATTTTGAAGTTGCATTTCAGATTCAAGCTCAGAAGAGGAGCACTAAGATCTGTAATTAGATTTTCTTTCATATGGTGCACCCAAAAAATTTTGTGCACCTAATGTTTTAGGTTGGGTGCACCAGTGCACCTATTCCCAAAAATGAATTTTGAGCCCTGATTGTCCACTACTTCAAACAGATTCCATTTCCCCAAAGCCCACTACCCCCAGGCTGAAGTGAGGTAGCTAGGTCAGTATATCCCATGTATATTAACAATTTGTAATTTTGTCTACAGGTAACTTCCGATAGCCTGTAAGGTATCCGGTGGGGCCCCTTTCTGCAAATGTGCTCTGAGCAAAACAGGGATAGATCTAACGGTAACACATCGTTCAGCACCAAGGACAGAGCTATAGGAAGAGTTCCCTTGCAAGTTTTTGGCTTTGGTTTTTGTTGAATTTTTAATTATGTCTTGTCTACTTGTTTAGTAAAACTGGTCTGACGTTTTGTCACAACATTCCGGAAGAAAGTTTGGTGACTTAGTCAACTGTACGAGCTTTCAAATAATGTTACTACCCCCAGGCTGATATGAAGTATTTCAGGATATCCCATGCATATCAACAACTTGTAATTTTGTCTACAGGTTACTTCCGATAGCCCGTAAGGTATCCGGTTGGGCCCCTTTCTGCAAATGTACCCTGAGCATAACAGGGATAGGGGCAACAGTAGATCTAACAGTAACACATCGTTCAGCACCAAGGACAGGACTATAAGAAAGATTTCCTTGCAAGTTTTTGGCTTTGGTTTTTGCTGCGTTTTCAACCATGTCTTCCCAACTTGTTTAGTGAAACTGGGCTGACGTTTTGTCACAACATTCTGCAATAAAATTCATGTAACTTAGTTAATTGTACGATCTTTCAAATACTACCGCGAAAGACTGATATGAGATAGGTCATGCATACGATACATGTATACCAACAATTTTTAATTTTGTCTAAGGGTTACATACAAGAGTATAGAAGACTGCCCGTAAACTACCCGATGAGGCCCCTTTCTGCAACTGTGCCCTACGCATAACAGGGATAGTGGCAACCGTAGACCTAACACATCATTCAGCACCAAGGACAGGGCTATAGGAAGGATTCACTTGCAAGTTTTAGGCTTTGGTTTTTGTTGAGTTTTCAACCATGTCTTCCCAACTTGTTTAGTGAAACTGGACTGACGTTTTGTCACAACATTCTGCAATAAAAGTCATGTAACTTAGTTAATTGTACGATCTTTCAAATACTACCGCGAAAGACTGATATGAGATAGGTCATGCATACGATACATGTATACCAACAATTTGTAATTTTGTCTAAGGGTTACATCTGATAGTATAGAAGACAGCCCGTAAACTACCTATGAGGCCCTTTCTGCAACTGTGCCCTACGCATAACAGGGATAGTGCCAACCGTAGATCTAACATATAATTCAGCACCAAGGACAGGGCAACAGAAAGAATTCCCTCTCAAATATGTGGCTATGGTTTTTGTTGCTTTGCAACCATGTCTTCCCAACTTGTTTAGTGAAATTTGACTGACGTTTTGTCACAACATTCTACAATAAAAGTCAAGTAACTTAGTTAATTGTACGACCTTTCAATACTACCGCTAAAGGCTGATGTGGGGTAGGTCAGGATACATGTATGTTAACAATTTGTATTTTCGTCCACGGCTTACTTCTGATAGTACAGCCTGTAAACCACCATGGGGGCCCCTTTCTACAATTCTACCCTGAGCATAACAGGAATCATTCAGCACCAAGGACAGGGCTATAGAAAGAAGTCCCTTGTACATCTTTCGCTTTTGTTTTTGTTGATTTTGCAACCATGTCTTCCCAACTTGTTTAGTGAAACTGGAATGACGTTTTGTTACAACACTCTGCAAGAAAATTCTGGCTACTAGTGAACTGTACGGCCTTTCAAATACTACGCCAAAGGCTGATATGAGATAGGTCAGAATATCACATGCATATCAACGACTTGTAATTTCGTGTACGGCACTTTCATATCGTTTTTATTCATGATTTTAACATGCTCTCGGCGAAAACATGCCAAAACCCAGACAATTTATACAGCAGGTATATCGGTAATCAAGGCCGCGTTTTGATCATGTTGGAAAGAAATGTAAACAAACTTTGTAAAGAAATGACCAGGCATTTTGACTTTTTGTATCGATGTTACACATAATGCAGCTTTGAAATCTAATCTTGCAACGAAAATTTTAAAGTGCCCGAGTCCCCTTACTAGCCTATCGTCCAGTCTATCGTATAGTCCAGTCTATCGTGATTATGGCGGTCTCTCTTTGGGGCTACAGAGACTCTTCGCCGCCTGAATCATCAAAGGTTCCCGGTAGGTTTTTCACGAGAGGAGTCATTCACCCCGCCAAGATATTGTAGTGGGGCCATTCAACTCCGTAAGGCCACAGCAAGTAATTTTTATGGATGACATCAGCGCGCGCATTAATTTTCGCCTGATTTTGGAAAAAAAAACAAGAAATTTTGTTGCCTTCTGACAGTTGTCAATATGCCGAAAATGGCCAAATATGTCTGTTGCCATGCCGGAAGGTGGATGGCAGATAACTATGAAGAGAGGAGACAAGAAAAGGCTCTGATTTAATGTTTTGTTTCTTACTTTGATGCAGTGTTATGTGATGCTGGCTGTGTATATGTGATGTTCCTACTGAATCAAAACCATTTGTATAATGATTGAGTCAAAATTTCAAATTGTAGGAACCTTGTTTTTTCGGCCCGCCTTGGTTTTTTCGCCCGCTCGCATTAGATTTGAAATCTGCGGAGGATGTCATCCATAAAATTTACTTACTGTGGCCTAACTCCAGGTAACACTCCCACCGGGCGGCCGGTTAATCTGGGCGGGGGGAAACTATTGGGGCCCCGAAGAAGTCCTTACCTGCTCCCGTAGCTGTTCGGCGTCGTTGCCGGCAGACATGGACAGGATGAAGGCTGACACCTGCAGGCTCACGGACAGAACCATCAGCAGGGTGAAGATCAGGAAACTGGCGCGGTAACTGGTCTTCTCACCGGAATTGTTCCTCTTCGGGGCTGGAAAAGAAACATAATACTTAACCTTGTAATTACCTTCAGCAGAAAGGTTCTGTTTTGGAATGCGGTGCCGTTTGTAAAGAATTATGAAGGATACAAAAATTACTGAGCGCGAGAGAGAGCGTGTGAGAGAGAGAATGAGAGAAAAACAGTGTGTCAGTGTGTGTGTGTGTGTGTGTGTGTGTGTGTGTGTGTGTGTGTGTGTGTGTGTGTGTGTGTGTGTGTGTCTGTGTGTGTGTTTGTCTGTGAGTAAGTGAGAGAGAGAGAATGTACGTATGCGCGCGTACATGAAAGGCATTGAGCACCAAGGTCAGCCATGTTTGCGTTTGTGTGTGCGCGCGCGCGCGCGTGTGTGTGTGTGTGAAAGAGAAGGAGAGAGAAAGAGAGAGAGAGAGAGAGAGAGAGAAAGAGAGTGAGTTATGGGACAAAGAGAATCCATAGATCCCATACCTCCGGCAGGGTGGTTGTTGGCCCGGCGCAGAGGCCGTGGCGAGGTGGTGGAGGAGGGGGTCACCATGGGCGCCGTGCGGACGGGCTGGGGGCGGATCACCACCGCCGCCGGGCACTCGTAGTCATCGGAGCTGGTCGGCTCAGACCTGGAGGCTGCAGCAGAGGTAAAAAAACACCCAATTTTTCATCTATTCATCCGGCAGATTAATAAAACAACTAGATAGGTAACATTTGCAATTTAGGTAACAATTGGACTAAAACATGTAGGAGTAGACACAGCAGTAGAGTATCCTGAGCTCTATCAAACGGAGAAGAACTTGTATTTACAAATGTTTCTCTGACAGTTTGTCCCCTACTCTTTTCGATAAGTGTGGTGGGTTCTTTAACGTGCGTGGGGTGTGGCTCTCCCCAAACACGGGACCTCCATTTAACGTCCTATCCGAGGGACGTCCCTAACCGAAGCTAGGTACTTATTTCCACCTGAGTGAAGTGAGGAAAGTGTAAAGGGCACATGGGCAGGACTCGAACCCGCGACCCCTTGGGTGTGAGCCGAACGAGCTACCGACTGCGCCACACGACCCCAGTTATATTTTCTGTGGTGAGGATAATTAGAAGCTACTAGACGTATCTACTACAGTGCCATGTACCTTTGCATGTTGAGCAATAAATGAATAAAAATATTCAGAAATACGAACGAAAGTTAAGATTAAAACATGAAACTTTGGCCTAAGATTGGAATGGACGTCCACCGCCGACGGGTTATTAAGGCCACAGCAGGTAAATTTTATGGATGACATCCTCCGCAGACTCCAAACCTAATGCAAGCGGGCAAAAAAAAACAAGACGGGCCGAAAAAAAAGGTTCCTACATTTTAAAATTTTGACTCAATCATTGTACAAATGGTTTTGATTCAGTGGGAACATCACATATACACAGTCATCATCACATATCACTGCATCAAAGTGAGAAACAGAACATTAAATCAGAGCCTTTTCTTGTCTCCTTTCTTTATAGTTATCTGCCATCCACCTTTTGGCATGTTTGCCCATTTTCGGCATGTTGACCACTGTCGGAAGGCAACAAAATTTCTTGTGTTTTTTTTCCAAAATCAGGCGAAAATTAATCCACGCGCTGATGTTATCCATAAAAATTACTTGCTGTGGCCTTATTGTCGTCTGAATTGTCGGTCCGAAATCTGGGACGGGAGAGGAGATTAATCACCCACTCACCCAGTTTCGTTTTCGTAGAATCATAAAATGTATTCATAAAACTGAAAGGTGAAGGAAGAATTCAGCTACAGGAAGACCTAGATAATACAAAATTTCTGATATTTTAGAGCTGAAAGGTGAAGAAAAATGAAGCTAGAGGAAGATCTAGATAATACAAAATTTTCTGATATTTGATAAAACTGAAAGGTGAAGGAAAACGGGCCCGGGAAAGAACTAGATTTTTAAAAATGTCCGAAATTCGATAGAACTGAAAGGCGAAGGAAAAATTCACCTGGAGGAAGACCTAGATAAATAAATGTAAAATATATGATAAAACTAAAAGGTGAAGGAAGAATTCAGCTGGAGGAAGACCTAGATTTTAAAAAATGTCCAATATTTGATAAAAATGAAAGGTAAAGGAAAAATTCAGATTGAGGAGGACCTAGATTTAACAAAAAATGTCCTATATTTGATAAGACTGAAAGGTGAAGGAAAAACGAAGCTCAAAGAAGACCTAGCTAGATAATGTAAAATGTCTGATATTTCTGAAGGTGAAATGTCTGGAAGTGAAGGAAAAAAAGGAAGCTAGAAGACGGCCTATATGAACAAAATGTCTGATATTTGAAAAAACTGAAGGAAAACGGGCCCGGGGAAGAAATAGATTTTTAAAAATGTCCGAAATTCGATAGAACTGAAAGGTGAAGGAAAAATTTAGCTAGAGGAAGACCTAGATAATACAAAATTCTGATATTTTATAGAACTGAAAGGTGAAGAAAAATTGTAGCTAGATAAAGACCTAGATAACAAAATTTGATAAAAATGAATGGTGAAGGAAAAATTGAGCTCAAAGAAGACCTAGATAATACAAAATATCCAAATATTTGATAAAACTGAAAGGTAAAGGAAAACGGGCCCGGGGAAGAAATAGATTTTTTGAAATGTCCGAAATTCGATAGAACTGAAAGGTGAAGGAAAAATTCAGCTAGAGGAAGACCTAGATAATAAAAAATTCTGATGTTTTATACAACTGAAAGGTAAAGAAAAAATGCATCTAGACGAAGACCTCGATACATGTAATTCAAAATTTCTGATATTTTATAAAACTGAAAGGTGAAGAAAAAATGTAGCTAGATAAAGACCTAGATAATACAAAATGTCAAAAATTTGATAAAACTGAATGGTGAAGGAAAAACTGAGCTCAAAGAAGACCTATATGACAAAATGTCCGAAATTTGATCAAACTGGAAGGTGAAGGAAAAATGCAGCAAGAGGAAGACCTAGATAACAAAATGTTCGATATTTGATAAAACTAAAAGGGCAAGGAAACACTGAGCTCAAATAAGACCTAGATGATACAAAATGTCTGATATTTGATAAAAATGAAAAGTAAAGAAAAAAAGAAGCTAGCTAGAGAAAAAACCTACAAGATACAAAATGTCAGATATTGGAAAAAAAACTAAAAGGTGAAGAAAAAAAGCGGACATATATTATTGGCCCAATCCTTGTTTATACCGAATTTCAGGTCATTTGGCCCAAAAATGAAGTTGAATCACTTTTACAAAATGACAGGAGAAAGAGGAGAAGACCAAACATGAGTAAAAACATTATATTTCATCCATACATGGTATAGACTGAAATGTAACGTTATGCCATTTGCTGTCATGCTGTCAAATACCAGAGTTATCAATGAAAATTTGGAAAATTCGAAAATTTGGAGGTACGTGTTTTTACCTTTAAAAAGAGTCACTGATTGATGAATATACTACTAACCAGAGTTATTAACCAATGATTGAGGTGTTCAAAAACTCGCTACCACCAAGTACTGTAGGGGTATCCTCACTATAATAGATAGCTTTGAACAATATGCATAGACTTATATGTGCAGGTCGTTCGGTGTAATATAGCCAGATCCCGCTGCACTGCGTGCCTGCAAAAACTGGTGTGTTACGCCGAAGGGCGGTTATACCGGATATACAGATACAGAAGCTGTTGTGTTACGCCGAAGGGTGGTTATACCGGATATACAGATACAGAAGCTGGTGTGTTACGCCGAAGGGCGGTTATACCGGATATACAGTTCCAAATACAGAAGCTGGTGTGTTAGGCCACACTGACTTGATCTTATGGATGACATCTTCTGAAGAAAGCAAGAAATGGATGTTGGCAGTAAACTTAGTAACTCAGTAAACAATATAGGCATCATTTCTTGTTCAATAAGGTTTATGATGTCAAAATTTAAAAACGTAAGAATCTTGTTTTTTTTTGCCCACCTTGTTTTATTTTTTCGCCCTATCGTATTAGATTTGGAGTCTACGGAGGATACCACCCATAAAATGTACTTGCTGTGGCCATATACGGGATATACAGACTTCTAAGAAGCCCGACCGGGGCCCGGCTATACCCCGTCCGGGCACCGGTGTGATTGTGACCGAAGAACAAACAGGGAACATGCGCAGTCAATCGAAATTCGCTCGTTCTGTACTCACCCAGAGTTCACAAAAATGCCTTTCATACCAAAATATGACTCATATTCATATCAAAACACCATACCATCAATGGATTCTAAGAAAAAACATTCATTTAAGCAGAAATATCATTATTAATAAGGCCACGCTTTGGGGAAATGGGTTTCATCTATGGGCGTAGACATGAATAAGCAAATAAATGAATAAGCAAAATAAAATATTTTCTCAGAAATTGTACTAGTCATTTCTTTCAAATCTACCGAATTGATATTTCAAAATATATCCATTTGTCTGATATATTATGTAATTTTTTCATTACAAAGTCACCTGATTTGTTTTGATCGTAAGAAACTGTATCAAATCTTAAACGTATGGTCAATGATTGAACTACACAAGAACCAGAAAAATAGTTAGCCTCCGTAGCAGACTTATAGAACTGGGGGTTTCTGTTTGGTGGACTTTGGCTGTTTTTTTATTAGCCCAGTTCTAAAAAATGGGGGTAATTCAACCAGGCCGGCTATGTTGTCTATATGCAATTAAAAAATAGCACATGAAAGTAGCACATGAAAGCTCCCAAAGACCATGAAGACACCAAAAATCCCCAGTTTTTGGCAGGCTAAAAAAAGAGTGAATTTTAGAAGAACGCGTTGTGCAACTTCTAAATTAGTAGGTTTCAACATATTAGCACTAAGTATCAGAAAAATGATAATAAGAACAGTTACAAAACAGTGAAACATCAAGGACAATATGTCCTTGCTAATACCTAACTTCAATGCAATGTTTTTTTGTTTGTCTGCATTTTTGGTATTCCTTTTTTTAAACATGTCATCATAAAAAATTAAAGAAGAGAAACCCCTGTAACACAACCAATCCAATATTTTGGTAAATATACTGTAATTATATGCAAAATGAAAAAGAAAAAGATTTTGATGCATTTTGAAGCAGGGTGTGAAAGAATCAAACAACCAAAGAGGTTCTAAGACAGTCCTCTTCCGTAACGAACATTTGTTTCTACAGTCATCCCTTAAAGTAACCCAAAACATGTGTGTGATTCGTATGAGCCTTGTTTTGAGGTGAAAATTGAAGAAGAAAAAAATCAAGACAGCTGAATTTTGTATAATACATGCATTGCTATCCTAAGAAAATTTGTGATCGTAAGACAATCGTACCACGATTGTACGACTTAAAGAAGAATCTATCGCCGTACATACCAGTCGTATGAGCCTTGTTTTGAGGTGAAAATTGAAGAAGAAAAAAAATCGAGACAGCTCAATTTTGTAGAATACATGCATAGCTATCCTAAGAAAATTTGTGATCGTCGTACGACGATTGTACGACTTTAAGAACAATTAATCGCCCTACTCACCAGTCAGGACGACGTCCCGCTTGGGCGCGGCGGTGGTGGGACCGTACCGGGAGAGAGGCGGCCCGGCCCGGGGTGGGATCGTCGCACCTACCCGGACCGGCTGAGGGCACTCGTACATATCACCCATCTCTGCCGCAAGGAAAAAAATAACAACATCAATACTTTTCTGTACATTAAAGACATCCAGTGCAGTTTTTTGGCTTGGAAACCCGATTTTTAAAGTCAATATTCTAGTCATTTATCTACATACTGAGTTGAAACCACACTATCCCAATGTATATTGGCCCTCATGGAGCAAAAATACCCAAAATTCTGACGGAAAATGGATTTTTAGGGTACCACCCAGAAAATAAAGGACTCATCTTGGGGCTTGTTTCTTCAGTTTTAAAAGCCCAAAGTATGAAATACTGACTCAAATGTGCTGATGGGAAACAGTATGTGTCAATATCACAAGGATTGCCTTATTCAGAATATTTCCAGTTTTGCTGCGCTAAAATCGCATTGGATTTAACGCATGAAGTTCTTTGCAAGTAACAAAGTTAAAAATCACAACACTCTTGTTAACGAATTAGAAATATATTACAACTTCTTGATTTAAACGTGTCTTATTTTAGAAATAACAAAACCGAAACAGCCTCCCACATACAAAAAATGATTGAAATATTTCCCCCCAAGCAAAGAAACTCATTACACGCAACTTGTTTTTCTGTACGCGCATAAGAAATTTTCAAGAGATACGTCCACTTGCAAAATTCTAAGATACTCTTATACATACATAATATAGCCTCCTACAACATTGCGGAATGATCGATAACAAACGCAGAGCGAAAACCACAACAAAAACAAAAAATAAAACAGAGAAACGACGTTACATATTGTTGATAATGATATGCGCACCCAAAACATATTACTTACATATTGGTCTTCAGCAGATAGTTTTCGGAGTATTTTTTTTCAAGCAGTAGCGATGCTTTCTTCAACAAACAAACAAACAAACAAACAAACAAACAAACAAACAAAAAACAGAAACGACGTTGCATCATATTTTAAAGAATGATATGTACACCCAAAGCATATTACTTACATGTTGGTCTTCAGTAGACAGTTTCGGAGTATTTTTTCAAGCTGAAGCGATGCTTTCTTCAACACAATTTCTCGCTGTACCAGCTCGAACCTTACCCAAGAAGATCTCAGAGCAGGTCTGGCTTGTGCGAGCGCGCGTCCCGCTATATGTGCGACCCACAGCCTTTGATAGCCAGGATCTGACGCACGTACGCACATAATTATTAATATTAAACAGGGGAGCTTAAAAAACACGTCGGAGGGCAGACAAATTATATTTTCGCCCACGCTAGAAAGCATCGGAAGATAGGAGGACGTCAAAAAACATCAAGAAAAAGAGCACAGAAGTAGACTGTACAGTTATCGTCCTATTATCGTACTACAATATATTTGGAAGAAAACAGGACATGATAGAATCTTTACATTTGGTCAAAAAGACACAAAATGATGCGTGTATTTTCTTGTGGTCATAAAATATCTCCCACGGCCGTTGCTATGGCAACGGCTGTGACGTAGCAAATGGTGGACAGAGGGCTAACTGATGACTATTCATGACTATATCCAAGCAGGGTGACTGACCGTAACTACTTGTATAGAAATTGATTTAATTAAGTTTTAGTCTGCTTGCAGAATGCAAAAATGGCTTCATTCACTGCAAGGGCTTTTCTAGTATTGCACGTTTGCTCCATTTTCGTGTGAGTACATTTTTTTTACCCCTGTCCTTTTTTTATTTATGTTTTTTTATTCCAATATTTCATGACTAAACATGGCGACGGCACACTCAAGTTATATCAACATATTTTATGCCGCCACCGACACAGAGTACAAATACAGGACAAGACAATACTCATTTTCACTTGAGTTAAGTGAGGAAAGTCGTGTAAAGTGCCTTTTCCAAGGATCGGTGGCATGTCAGGACTCGAATCCGAGACCTCTTGGTTCCGAGTCGAGCACTCTGCCGCTATGCCACAATCCCCCTGTCCTTGTGTTAAGCCTTGTGCTCATACTGTTCTACATATCTGAGAACAAGTCGACCTTACTGTGCCCTCTATGTTCTGCAGTTGCGCGGTTCTGGCTGTAGAACGCATACACTATACCCCGAGACTTAGGCCACAGTAAGTAAATTTTATGAATGACATCCTCCGCAGACTCCAAATCTAATGCGAGCGGGCGAAAAAAAAACAAGGTGGGCCGAAAAAAAAAGGTTCCTACATTATCAAATTTTGACTCAATAATTGTACAAATGGTTTTGATTCAGTGAGAACATCACATATACACAGCCAGTATCACATATCACTGCATCAAAGTAAAAAACAAAACATTAAATCAGAGCCTTTTCTTGTCTCCTCTCTTCATAGTTATCTGTCATCCACCTTCCGGCATGGCAACAGACATCTTTGTCCATTTTCGGTATGTTGACTACTGTCAGAGAGCAACAAAATTTCTTTTTTTTTTCCAAAATTTAATTTTTTTTAAATTAAATGCGCGCGCTGATGTCATCCATAAAATTTACTTGCTGTGGCCTTACATGTATGCCTTCAATGCTGTTGTCATACATATAGTCATACACGTAACACTTCGAAATATTTCTCGTGCAGGCATTTCAAAGCTATGCGCCTAAAATGTTGTTTTGGTTTCCTAGCAAAAATCGCGTATGCTTTGAAGGGATTCAAAATCATCGTTATTATGTAAAAGATGAAAATTATAAGCGTAAAAATCCTAGGACAGCCATTAAAACCCCTAAAATCTAAACCTATACAGTGTACTAGTCAGTGTGTGCATCGGACATTTTAGGTGTTCTGTATTAAAGGCATCCAATTCGATTTCAGGACAGCAAAACTAGAACTATTATGAATAAGGTAATCTTGTTGATATTGACACGAACATTGGCACATTTAAATCAGCATTTCATACATTGGGCATTCAAAACTGCAGAAACAAGCCCCAAGAGGAGTCCTTTATTTCCTGGGTGGTACCCTAAAAATCAGCCCAGGGACCTTCCAGTAATCATTTTCTGTCAGAATGTTGGGAATTTTTGCTCCATGAGGGTCAAAATACATTGGGATAGTGTGGTTTCAACTCAGTAACTCAGTATGTAGATAAATGACTAGAATATTGGCTTGCCACTTAATACTATATACAAAAATACTATATACTGTCTATATGTTGTCAAGTGTTTCAATTGTTGTTTACGCGTTGTTGCTCTCGGATTGATTTTAAAAAAGGGCAAATAAAGTGAGCTAATCATCCGATGAGAGACAATAAGGCGTCAAAAATATACAGGTAATGCAATCATCATATACAATAAAAGATAAAACAAAATAACAGAAGTTCATAAAATTATAAATTTAACAATTTAGATAGTAATAGAAATCCAAACAACCTTAGACTCATATTTACTTTCTTTTTACTAGAAAAGAATCTAAAGTTGTATAACTCATTTTATCATGTACATTTAGAAGCCTTCAAACAATGGAATAATAAAATATATGGCCAAACATAAAAGCCAGGAGCATGCGCATTCAATCAAAACATGTCCGTCATGATTGCATAATACTTTTTATTTTGTTTTGTTTACATGAAAACGTTGTATACTAACAAAAAATTCAAAACATTCATTTCAAAAATTCAGAAATATTGATATTTATGAGGCCGCAAGGTAACTGAAATTGTGCAATTTGATTCATAATTCAATTAGAAGCCTTCGAACAATAGAATAATGAAATATGTGGGGTCGTGTGGCGTAGCGGCAGAGTGCTCGACTCGGAACCGAGAGGTGCCGGGTTCGAGTCCTGACATGCCACCGATCTTGTGCCCTTGGGAAAGGCACTTTACACGACGTTTCTCACTTAACTCAAGTGAAAATGAGTATTGTCCTGTTCCGTATTTGTCCTCTGCGTTGGTGACGGTATAAAATAAGTTGATATAACTTGAGTGTGCTGTCACCATGTCTAGTCATGAAATGTTGGAATAAAAAAAAATGAAATATGTAACTCTACACTAATGGTGCACACACACCAGTAAGAGCCATGTGCATCTTACACACGTTAAAGGCATCCAATGCGATTTCAGGGCAGCAAAACTGGAAATATTCTGAATAAAGAAATCTTTATGATATTGACACATACTGCTTCACATCAGCACATTTGAGTCAGTATTTCATACTTTGGGCATTTAAAACTGGAGAAACAAGCCCCAAGATTAGTCCTTTATTTTCTGGGTGGTACCCTAAAAATCAATACAGGTACTTCCAATAACCATTTTCCGTCAGAATTTTGGGTAATTTTGCTCCATGAGGGTCAATATACATTGGGACAGTGTGGTTTCAACTCAGTATGTGGATAAGTGACTAGGGATATTGACTTTGAAAAATCGAGTTTCCAAGCCCTAAAAACTGCACTGGGTGCCTTTAAGGACTGCCCAGGGGGCTAATAAAACCCAAGATTTCTTGTTGCATATTGTATGAGATCGGTGAAAAACAGAGTGATTATGTGCTTATGGACAGACACACAGGCTGATGCCTTGGATTAGAATTCAAGGGATCCTTTCCTTTTACTCCTTTCCTTGCCTTCCTTTGATGGCCACAATCATCATATTGATAATTCTGGCATGGCTAACACGAGACAGGGGTCCACCAGACCTCTCATTCACTCACTCACTCACTCACTCACTCACTCACTCACTCACTCACTCACTCACTCACTCACTCACTCACTCACTCACTCACTCACTCACTCACTCACTCACTCACTCACTCACTCACTCACTGTCCGGTTTATCGTCTGTTGTTCCCCGTCTTCCGAGGGTTAGACGTGCTTGCACTGTACAGCTGGGGCTTGATGGCAGCACGCCACTTGTCTCTGTCCTGTGGGTTGATTTTATCTAAGTTCAGGTGGTGGAGGTCCTCCCGTATGTTGTCGTACCATTTCCTTCTAGGGCGGCCACCTAGCCTCTGTTCGGGTGATTTGAAGTAAAAGACAGTATAGACTATCGCACACCGGGACTAGTCTCCACCATACTCCTTTGCAGGCTGAATAAATAGTCGAAATCAACCTGAAAAGGAAT